TCATCAGAGTGCCATTTCCCGGAGAACAATATGACATAAAAAAAAACCTATCTGGGTAAAAAAGTTGTCAAGTTTAACAATCTCGTTTTTGGCAGATTGTGTATGTAAGTAATAACATTTCATCGAGGGTTTATGCCCTCGATGAATGATTTATAGTGATTTATTTCAAAAGAAAGAAAACTTTGCAAAACTATGCCGTGTGACATCTAAATGTAGACAACGTTTGTTCCAGCTAAACAATCTGAAGAAGGTCATGTTCATTGCTGATTCGCTCCAGGCCAGATTTCTCCGCCTTCTTCATCAGTATTTTTCTCTAAGATATCCACAGAAATCTCCAGTTGTTGACCTTCTTCTGAGTAGCCTTCCCAAGCAACACTTTGTTCTCTGGGCACAAACGTTCAATCACGTACACTCGTTGTGCGAGATGAGGTGCACAATTCCATTTGGTTTTGCCTTATCTTTTGTCGGGACACAAGATAAAATATGTAGCGTCTTGGGCTGTTCCAGACTCGACTCGGTAGTTAAGCTGGTCTGGAACGGTTGGTAAGAACACTAACGTTTTATTTAGTTAAGATTTGGCCGAATTTAGAATAATGATGAAGACGCGATGTCGGCGTCTGTCCAGGCCACTGGTCCGAAGTCGTTCTGTTGTGCGCCATCTCCTGTTGCGTCTCCTTGTGTCGTCCTGCGCCGCATTCTTTTCAACCCTCGGACCACTTCTCGGTGGCGTGAAGCGGTGCAATCGCGAAGCAATACGGCTGCCAGACGAGACATCAGTGTCCCTTGTGCTGCGGTGAGATTGCCAGGATATTATCCAACGTTATGCAATGGATATTGCGCGAAACTGATGTAAGCAGGCGGCAAGGTCGGCCGACGATCCAGGGGCGCCTGAGCCGGGTAACCTCACCCGAGGCTTTCCGGAGCCGTTCGGGTCGAACGGAGAAATGCAGAAGCGCTGTGTGTCGGTGTGGATTGCAAAATTTATGTGAAGGTTTTGGTCAGACAATTAAAGAGTGTCATCCAATGCCTTGTAGGGTCGCACCAGACATGAGGCAGAAAGGAGTCGAATTATTGGCACTAACGTTCATGTTGCGAGATGCATTTTGGAAGGTTGTAACGCTCTCGAGGGACGAGTCGCAATGTCGCAGCAATGTCGCAGCTCGACCTAGACACAACTTTTGATTATGTGTCACATCAGGCACTTTTTAGTGTTTTGGAACATGTAAATGCTGACTCTATTATAATTAAGGGTGTGAAAACGTCGTACGCGAGTTGTTCTACATAGTGAACAAAAGTGTAAAATAAACAGTTGAAGGTCGGTCCTCTGTGCGACAACGTTGCCCGTTGTCGCCCTTACTTTTTTCCATTTTCTTAGAACCGTTTTGTTTAAGGATCGTCAGAAATGCTAATATTTGGGGTTGTAAACGACACTCAGCGTTACTAAAACACTGAATTGGGAAACTCACCCTTGAAACCTGTATCGCTGGCGTCTACCAATACCAAACTGAATACGATAACAGCGCCACCCTTTGGCGACGAGCTGAAACATGACCGCTAGCCCCTGTTTCCTTGAGTACCAAACTCCCGGCTCGAGGGGCTAAGATGGCTGCTCAATTTTTTTTTCTTTACTGTGGCGAGCGTGAGCTTTTAGAAAGCATGTTTTTGCGTAAAAACAAACGAAAAAAGCTCTTTTTGTAGAAAGTTTTTCTTGGAGATTAGTATAGAATAACAGGAGCGTGATGTTTTCATATAATCTTTAGTTTACAAGGTTTTGCGGCACAATTAATATTGTTTTGATACAACCTTGCCTCACCGCTGATTTCAGGTAGCGCGTCCTAACTTCGGTGATCAATTGCGGCGCGTCCGCTTGGGAGAGGGGGGTTGGCAGCCCTGAAACTTTTGCCATTCTATACGTTTCGGCGCCAAAATGGCCGATCAAAGCCAAAATCGAACAGTAACAGCGAACGCTATCGAATGTGATACCGATACTCTGGTGTATCCATGCAGTTCCCGGAGTGACCGCTGCAAGAGAAATGGCGGCGTTGCTATAGCAACGCCGCCATTTCTCCTGCAGCGGTCACTCCGTTCAGCACTCGAGAACCAAACTAAAAAAAAAAGGCTCCGTTCAGCACTCGAGAACCAAATTAAACACGATATATCGTGTTTAGTTTGGTTCTCGAGTTCTGAACGGAGCCTTTTTTTTCATGCAGGCTCCTATGGCAGTTTCCCGAGTATTCTAGTAACGTTGACTACACTCTAGCGAGGTGAAAATCCATTCATACGCAGATGATATTGCCGTTTATTTTTTTTATTTGATCAGAACAGTTTGTGCGAGGTAGTCAGCACTGCTTCGTCTTATTGTGCGAAATCGGGTAGCTAATTAACTGGGGTAAATGCACAGGACTCTGGCATGGTAACTAGGACGCCACACCTAATGATTTCTTAAATGTTCAATGGACGACCTTGTCGGAGAAATGACTCCGTCGTGCCGCTAGAGCATTACCGAGATACTGCGCCATATTGGAACGATGAGACGGAGAGGGTTAGGACGAAAGCGGAGAATTGGAAGGGGCGGGATTTGGTGAATGTTTGCGCGTTCCACTCTCTGTAACCTGTTTTTGACTTCAAAATATGGTATGTTTTGAAAATTTTTGTCCATGTTGCGTATCAACGTGCGGAGACTGCACAGAGTGTTCGCTGCCTTCATCTGGAGTTCAGCCTGGGAGCGCACAGCTCCGACGAACTTGTTGTGATCAGTTCGAGGGGGTGGACTAAGCTTGTCTCACTTGTTTATTCAGCATATTGTATCTAAGTTTATGTTTCTGCGCCATCAGGAAGATTTGTTTTTTACGCAGTGTTATTCAGATGCGATTACGGAACTCGTTGACCGGGTTTGTAGTGTCGTCAAGTAATGTAATCTACACGAGTGTCCAGGGTTATTTGCGCGGACTGGTGCATAAAATTGTTAAAAGTGCGATTTTCTTTAGAGTATTTGGGTTCGGTTTCACACACACAAAAAAAAAACTATAAGGATTTAGTGGAGGTCCTAATGCCAATCGCCCCCGGTACAGGTTCTTATACCCAGATATCCAACCTTGAACGTTTTGAAAAGATTTTAAAAAATGCCGGTAAAGCCCACCGTTATTTTTTTTTAGATTACACTGCGGCGCACTGGCAGTAAAGACATGGCTGGAGGAAGGAGGCTTATTTGGACCGTGGTCTACCAATTGCCTTTTCTTTAAAGAGCCTGAAACCATAGAGCATGTATTTAGCGGATGTTGCGACGCCATCTTTCACTTAGACATCCTCCAACACATTCTTAAATTGAGTTACTCATAACTGCGTGAAGAATTCGCTTCCTGCCAGTCGAAAACAACGGTTTGGACCGCTATGACATCTTTCATAATATATGAAAGCCGGGGATGCGGATGCGCCACGCGGATGTGAACGTCCGCACGGTCAGAGAGAACTCGGTTCAAAGTGTGGCCTATATCTAGGGTTCAATGTTTTCGGAGTTTATTTTTCGTCACATTCGGAAGGTGTTTCTTTCGGAGTTTATGTTTTGCCGAAGATTCGGAATTTGTTCGGAGTTTATATTTGTTTGATTTCCCATTCTCCGAAATTCGAAGTTTAATTTTGCAGTGTTTTCTTATCAAATAAATATATAAATAATAACCGGATGTAAACGTATCCCAGATAAAAAAATAAAATAAAATGCCCTTGTATCAATTAAAGTTTTTTTTTTTTCAGTTGAATTTGGCGTTGGTGCCATTTCTATTGGTAACACTAATCGGTCCCACGACAAAAGTCGCAAACAAGTGTTGCTTCGATAAACATCGAAACCTTAAAATCAATAAACTGCCGGAGGTAGCTCGTAGTCATCCCACCAACCTATCCCGCGGCCGCGCGAAGTGGAGTGGTTAAGGATGTAACAGAGATGTTACAACTGCCTCCCTTCCATATTTTATACAATATCTATGGTACATAGCTTTCAGTACTACAAAAACATACCCTCTCGTTTATCTAAATCACAAATCGCATAATCCGAACAGGAAACCGAAAAGAGTAGCTTTTGTCGTGACCCGAGTATGCAATGACCTGTTGCCCCGAATCAACCTTGATAAGACAAGCGCTAAGACTCCTGTTGACAACGGTCGGAGTTTTCAAGGATAATTACGGTGGCATTTTCCCAGGACCATTGACCCTGCGCTGCTCAAGTTGTAAAAAAAAAAAATAATAATAATAATAATTTGTGGCGGGAGGGGAGGGGGCATAAAAAATTTTAGTTTATCTGATAAATCCGAATTGACCAAAACTCTACTGGCGGGTGGCTGTCGGAGTTTTTCGGATTTATCCAAAAACACGGAACCTAGTACCATCCTTGAAGTGCATCGGGCGTACCCTGTAGCCTGTACCCCCTAACTCGTGGCCAGTCCTGAATGATTCGGTTCCCCTGAAGATATTTTCATGTAACCACGTCGACAAAGAATTAATTGACGTGTTTGAGCGTTTTCTCTATTTGTTTTGTGTACCAAAAAAAAAAGTAAAAAGAAATAAAAAAAAAAGAACGAGCGCTACTTTATGTTTAAACTTTTTTGCGCGTCAAACGGTCGTGCTCAGAGTATCCCAGCCGGACAACCACATTTTGATTTAGCGTTTCCACCACGAGTTTGGGACCGCGACAGGCCCGTGCCGGGATGCAGCCTAGGATATGTTTAAACCGCGTCCTTGACAGCCCCTGTCCAGGCATCGACACGTGCCGCGGCGTGACCTAATTATGAACCAAAAGGTCGGGTTGACTCCTTTGTGCAATGTTCCATATTACTGCAAAAAACAATCGAGAGCAGAGATACAGGAATCCATCCCATTGTTGAGGGGTTGTTCCCCGTCCGATATCGTCATCGCAGCGAGATAACTCCTCGCTCCAAGTCGGCGACGTGATCCGTCGTCACGACAGGTAACCTTATAAAGCGCTGATTATTCTTCAGGAGTTTCAGACGACCAGTCGCCAGCACGATGGCTTTCTTCAAGGCTGCCGTATTCCTGGTTTGTGTGGTCCTCGCAGCGGCCGGGTCGGTGAGCAAATTGAAGGGGGCCCTGATCAGAGCCTGGAGGGACCAGGACCCAAGCAACCCCAAGTACGAGAGTCTGGCGCACTACGCAGTGTCTACCCAAGTCGAAGGTCGAGAGTACTACGACACGGTCCTCGGGATCTTGGAGGTGAAGACTCAGGTGAGAATGCCCCAGAATTTTTGAGCGCTAAAAGAGATCACGCAGCGAATGTTCCTTGTCTCCCGCGTTCGAGCTGCCTCTTCGGGACGAACGCATGACATCAGGTGTTCCAGCCATTGCCTCTTGCACTATGCTTTCGCTGCTTTGCTACGATTGACATCTGTGTTATATCTTTGTCAAGCTCGATTAAGCGGTTTATTGGCCGAACAGGGATTATCGGGGCTCTCCGGTCAGGCGTGTCACCGCGCAGATCCGTTGCTAAAACTCTAAACCTCTTTTGCGCCTCATCATCCACCCAGATTGCAGCGGTGAACTCTATTAAATGGCCTGTGGCAGATAAACACACCGGATTTCATTGAGTGTAATATGATTAGCCCTTTCGCAAGCTTGATAATGTGTAAAGCCTATGAGCTCACGTCTGGCTCACCTTTTGGGACTTTCTTTCCGCAACTTTAATCTCAACTTTCACGTCGGCCATCAGATAAAAAAACGCAAAGAGTAGCATGAAAACAGTTTCGCTATTTTTTTGTCAAGTAAAGGTTTCGTCAACCGGTAACAACCTTAGTTATCTTGTGAACACGTGGAGAGAAAGGGAGCTCAGTGTCGTCTTTTCTTAACGCACCTGTCTTATGCTCGGTATCCATGCAATTGTGTTTGCTATTGCATCGAGCAGATTGTGGACGGCGTGATGTTCATGTTGAAGTTTACAACGACTCAATCGACGTGCAAGATCGAAGCCGGCGTGGAATACTCCAAGCTGAACTGCCATCCCAGGACAAGCAAGGTTTGTGCTTGCTTTGCACGGCGTCGTCGCCAGCCGCGCCGCGGGTATTTGCCATCATATTAGATCATTCTTGCTACAGCTGCGGGTGAGAGCCATGATAGTTGTCTTCTTAATAAAACGCAAGATTATGCTAAACAGTTCATTCCAAGCTGATAATTTATTATTTCATATTCTTTATCAGTAAGCTGCTTTTAGCTTCAGTCGGCATGAAGATTATAAGAACGTACTATATGTCGGGCGTGAGTCTAGTTACCGAAATTTTAATATTGTTTTCTTTTTACACGTGACTAAATATCATATACAATGTTGCGGTTTCACGCATTAAAATTTTCATCCGCATAATTTATCTCGCAATGATTAGATTGACATGTTTTTTTAATGCAAATAGGGATGAACAAGGCGACATGGAAAAGCGATAGTCCTTTTCTTTGTATTCGCCTACAATCATGCCTTGTGAACATAAACCGTTCGCCCAAAAGTCGCCGATATTCTGTCCATCATACTGAGACAAAACTGCACGTATTTCCCCAGTTCTTCGCCAGAAAGTTTGTTCATATAGATCGTTGTGTATCTTAACCGGAACTGTAGTAATAAGACATGGGAATGTTGTTTTTTTTTTTGAGCACCATGCACTGACTAGCTACTAACAAGTTTTGTTGACTTGCATAGGTCGGTGGCGTCAACCAGGAGCCAACAGAAGCAAATTCAACTAAACGCAACTGAAAGCGGGTGCAGCGAGAGTGTTCGATTGTGTGCTTCAAAGGCGTTTCAGCGATCCTGCAGTTTTCTCAGTTTGCTTGTACGGATGGGTTACCCATTTTTTCGATATTGATTCGTCGGGAGTTTTTTTAAACACACTGCTTTTTAAACACACGTTAGCAGTTGGACGATTCCCTGCTAAGCGGAGTGTGACTTTCGTTACACAGCAGGTTTTAATCCTACCTGGAGCAATCAAGCGGAAGTTACACAAGATTTGCTACCCGGCGTCAATGTGCTGCTTCTATCTTGAGTTGACAGGCAGAGCGAAACTTATATATGTATTGGTGGCTCTGCATGGGGACAAGAGTCAGCTCCTCCTGCAAGTCCTACTGAGCCATATTTTCATTCTGCCCTGACAACTCGCCGGCTGTTTCTAGTATAGTCGGTTGCAAGCTAAGAACAATCTTTTAGCTCCACCCACAAGCGCATTGCGCCCATCTGAACTGCCTCCGCTGTCGAGAAAGTAGTTCGCTAGCAACGTTGCTTTTTCTTCCTCCAGGAAACGTGTCTTAAACTACTACATTATTTATTTAATTCTTTCAGGACATTTAAATAAGTTAGAATACGTTTTGTCAACGAAATAGCTGTTTATTAAAGAAAGAAAGTCATGTCCAATGTACCGTCTTCCCAATTCATTTTCTGTCCAAGATACTGTCTAACATACCGTCTTCCAGCGCCTCTGATTGAGGGAAAGCCGCTGGGGAAAGCGAAGCACTTATAATTCCTGCAAATAATAAATATTTAGTGATTTACTTAGTTTTGTGAGCTTTGCGCACGAAATGTGTGTCTTTATTTTGTTGGATGAATAGAAAACAAGAATAATTATACTTTTCGGGTTTTGACAAATCGGCACCCTCCCAAGTCATCGACACCACCACCGCGCCCCGCTCTCCTTGTCTAGAGCACTATATAGCTCCTTCGGAGCAGAGTAGCGCAATCTACAACGCCGCCTCTCGGCGACTAGCGGCGAACGCCAGGAGGTTCCAACTGCGGTCAGAAATACATGGAGAACGTGAGAAAATCGTTGTTACTTCAGTGTTGTGGGAACGTACGGCATCGCAATCATTTTTGACATAATAATGGAACACTTTAGAATACTTTGCGCTAAGTTTTGTGCCCCGCAAGGACCTGACTTTTTTTTAAAAATTGCCTGAGCGGCATCAAGCAGCAGACGACACGGCGACGTCACACCATTCACGTGACCCGCTCCGGCCAACCCGAAAAGCCCATCTCCGCTGCGAGCAAAAATCGTCTGCTTCAAACGCCATTGCCTTGGAAATTGCCTTCTCAAAATTTGCACACGTATCCGATATTGTTAAAACTTTGATCAAGTGTTTAGGGCTTTACTAACTTCTCGACAGACTAGTTTTGAAAAGCGTGAACTCGCCGTTCATTTTTTAATCAGCCGTGTTGTGTCGATCTCCATGTATTCTCCCATAGGGCGGGCCGCCTCCTGGAACCCTGAGTACCACGTGACTCGCGCCGAGCCGCTCTGTCGGCCATGTTGTCGGCAAAACACGGAGTTCAAAGGATTGCGCTACTCTGCTCCGTAGGAGCTATATAGTGCTCTATCCTTGTCTTCCGTCATGGATCTCACTGAGGTGACATCGGAAAGCGATTCCCCTGATTCTTCTTGGACGAAACAGCCTGGTGCAGCCTTACCGGCGAACCCAAAGCGGTTCTTCAAGAAGCACAATCCAACGAAGCAGACGACGTCCGGCGTAGCTTCTCACCTCTCAGCAGTGCTAAGCCTCGCGCCCGCTTCGAAATTTTCGTTGGCGATAGCGTCGCTGGATTCTCACGTTGTCGCGCAGAAACTGCTGCAAACGCAAGCCGATACCATTAAGATCTCGTGGCGTAACCTCGGGTACGTAAAACACGGTGCAAAAAAGCAGAATAATTGTCACGAGAAACTAGCGTCGCGTTGCTAAGGCCAGCAGCCATGTTGAGCTTTTTTTTTTTTCAAAAGGATCGCGATTGGTCCACAGAATCGTGACGTCAAGAAAACGATTGGCTGGCGTTTCTCGGCGTAGGATTACATTTTCCTCTGAGAGGCATTTCCGGTTTTTTCTTAGCTTGCAACCGACTATAGTAGTTAGTGGTGAGGGTAGCGGAAAGCCGGAACATGTTGGCCACTCCTTTAGTGGGGGCGAGTTAGTTCCGAGGAAGGAAAGGGGAGGAAAGGGAAGATCAGAAAAAGTTAAAGAAAGTAGAGAGGTCAAGAAAAAGAACGGATTGAAAAGAGAAGAGAGATAAATGGGAGGAAAAGGGTTCAAAAAGAAAAAAGAAGAAAGAATAAAAAAAAAAGGAACGATTGGTCAGCAGTTCTTGTGACTCGGTTGTTGATGAGTTGCCATCGCCCAGTGTATGTCAGACACCGGAGTTAGAGGCGGTCAAATAAACTGGTGTCCTCCAAGAACTTGAGAAGTGCGGCGAATGTTCTCGAGACATCGCGTGCAGAACCTGGGGGAAAAAGAATATCCTGTGTTGTAGCACTTGCTACGCCTAGGGTGCCTCAATGTCCTTCTGTTTAGGGTGATGCCACCCTTTGTAGTACCACATGCCGACAGCACGCGCTCACGGGAAAAATACAAAGAAATCGACGAAAACAAAATGTCGCCATAGCACAGTCAGCGCCACAAGCGCGTGCAGGGACACGCTCTTTCACGCGCTTCTGAACAAAAAATAAAAATAAACGTGTGTGACAAAATGGCGAGATGCCACCACCCTAAGCAGAGCGCACATGAAGGCACCCTAGCTACGCCTGCTTGCCGCAGCCCGCCGAGAAACGATTTTCTTTTGTCCGCTAGAGTAGGGCAGGTCCAGAGGAGATGGTCCTGGTCCTCGGGAACATCACAGGATGGACAGTTTGGGTTTATTGTTGGGTCCATACGGTGAAGGGCTTTCGCAGTAAAGGCCTAACCAGTGCGAGGTCTGTGGAGTAGAGAAGCGGAGGCTCGGGACAGCTTTGGAGGCACGCGTGCGGGTGGCTTCCCGGTAGAGACGCGCGTGTCCGGATGTAGTTTCTCTATTTCTTTGTGAATAATAAGTCTGGCCTCATACATCTTCGGTATAACAAGTATTAGTACATGAATGTGGTGAGGTGCATTAGCGAGACGATCGGCTGTCTCATTGCCCGAGATACCGACGTGTGATGGGAGCCACTGGTATGCTATGTGCCATCCTTTAGACTCTAAGTTTCTTGTCATGTGTCCAATGTATCTGGCATATTGTGGGGCGTCTTCAAAGCTACCGAGAAGTTGTAAAGCTATTCTGGAATCTGTGAGGAACACTGCTTTCCACTGTGAGGAATACTGTCGAGGATGTCAAGGCCTAGCCAAAGCGCCGCAAGTTCGGCAGTGGTAGATGTAGTGTGAGAACTCAGTTTCCTTGATTTGGCCATTTTTAGTTCCGGTATAAAAACTGCTGCAGTGGATGATTTGCGGCTATTAAGCACCGAGCCGTCCGTATATACACGCATCCATCCTGGAAAATCGACCTCAATTCGGTATTCTGCGAGGGTTCGAGCGAAAATTTGTGCAGTGAAGCGTTTGCTTCTGAGTTCCGGAATAGATTCACTGATGTTCAGCGGCGAGGCGTAAGGTGGTGGTGCCGGGTAGATAGCATTAAGGTGCCCACAATTCCTTCAAAGACTCTAGAGAGATCCAAGGCGAGATTGAGGACAACTTCGAATATGCTTCAAGAGGGCCCTGTTGACCGGCAGGAGGTTTGCCTTGCGATGTGGCGAAGTGTCAGCTCTCTGCCGTGGTTCGCGACAAGGTTAACCTTCGCTTCAACCAGCGTTGGAATGTTCGGGGAGTATCTCGGTAAACCCAGACAGAAGCGAAGTGCAATTCTTTGCAGGGTCTCAATGCCTGCAGACTGTGCATTGCTCACGTGAATCAGCGGCAAGACGTATAATAATCTCGAGAGAATGAGGCCTCTGTATAGCTGTAGCATCATGACCTGAGACGTTCCCCACCTGCTGCCCATCATTATTCGAATGGCGTTGGGGTGTCGGCGATATCTGATTAGTGTTGCCTTGACTGCAAGCTTCCAGGAGATGCGGTCATCCAGAAGAAACCCCAGGTAGGAGTACGTCCGGACACGTGCTACGTCTGTTCCGTTAATTGTGTAGATTCTGTTGATCGATGCTCTAGCCGTTGGATCATATTGAAGGGCAGCTGTTTTGGAGGAAGAAAGCGTAAGGCCTAGTCTAGAGATCTCGTCTACAACTATAGTCAATCCGTCCTGGAGGGTTTGTTGCATCTTGCTATATATCTTAGTCGGGGCGGTAGTCCAGAGGGCCACGTCGTCAGCGCATATAGCGATGTTAATGACTGGTCCCGATGACTTCATACGCCGGAGAGCCTCGGGCAGTGCCGCCTTCGAATTCCACCTAGGCGTACGTGCATAGACCTTCCTGTAAGAAAGGCGCGTACGAATGCCAGAGCTCGGCCTGCGACCCCGAGCCTTGTAAGCTGAGCAATGATGGTTTCTTGTGGAATTGCATCGAATGCTTTCTTAATATCGAGAAATAGTGCTGTTGTAGCTTGCCCTGTTGCCTTTGATTGTTCAATGTCTGATACGAGGCTGGCGATCGCGTCTGTCGTACAACGTTGTTTGCGGAAGCCAGACAGCTGATTAGGCAGGGCGCCCGATGTCTCGAGCTGCCAGTCAAGGCGCCGTAGGACTATTCGCTCCATCACCATCCCTAGACAGCACGTAAGAGATATCGGTCCATACGAGCTGGTGGCACCTATCGGTTTTCCTGGTTTATGAATGGGAACAACCTCAGATCTGAGCCAGGCAGTAGGAATATCAGACGAGCGCCAAATATGATTTAAGTATTCCAGAAAGCCTGGAAGCGTCGTATCATCAAGGTTACGAAGCGCTTGAAAAGTTATCGCATCTGGGCCTGGTGCGGTGCGTTTCCGAGAAGAACGCTGAAAAGCATGCTGCAGTTCACTCAGCGTGAAATCGGAGTTGCCGGCAACCTGCGCTGGCGTGCTGGTAGCAGTGGCTGCGACAAATCCCTGTGGCGGAGCAGGAGCAGAGGTGAATTCATCAGCAGGGAGTTCCGCGGCTTGAGGCAACGTGTTGTTCTGCGCGATAACAAGGCCGAGGACCGGTGAGCGGGGAACAGCATGACCCGCCAGGATGCGGGCCATTCGCCATGCTTGCCTTTCGCCACCGGAAGAGTGAAGGGTCTCACATCGCTGTTGCCATTGTTTCCGATGTAAGCGCTTGTTATGCCTACGAAATGCCGCATCAATCCTTCGATACCGTTGTATATCCTCTTGCCTTGATGTCTTCAAGGCACGTCGTTGTGCTTTGGGGCGCGAAGCACGTAGCCTTAAGTATTTTAGGTCTGGGTTGGGTCTATATATAGGAACCGTAACTCTCCGTGTCGCTTTGCAGAGCGCCTGAGAGATAGCGGTCGTGTGATCAGTGGTGCCAGTAGATACTATATTTTCGAAGTACACTCGGTAGGCATCCCAGTTTGTTACAGAACAAGTCTTATGGGTCAAAGGTCTTTTCTCTGGAGAAGTGAGTATAATAGGGAGATGGTTACTGCTCCAGCTGTCGGGTTCGGCGAGCCCGAGCGCACGTACTGCAGCGGTGGCCAAACTCAGGTCGAGCACACTGTTCTCTACGCCAGGTTTCACAAATGTTGCAGTGCCGTCATTTAGACACCGGAGGCCAATAGCTGTAGTGGTATCCTCTAGAGACCGGCCACGAGCGGACGTTTGCTTGTCCCCCCAGGCCTCGTTGTGGGCGTTAAAGTCCCCAAAGATCAGCGTGGCCGGCTCACACCGAGAAAGAATCGTGCGTAAGACGGAAGGGTTCCATGGAGATGTAGGCTGAATATATACCGATATGATTGTCATGGCGCCCGAGTTGTCTTTTTGTATCGTGACAGCCACGTATTCTGCGCTTGGTCGCAGAGATGTGAAAGATCCACTTGGAACTGAGGTAAATCTCTGTGTATAAATAGAGATGCCTTAGGTGCGTCTGTTGTTGTTGATGTTGTTCGGGGAGTACTAGTGTAGATAACATTGGGAGATAGTCGGATCGCTCCTTACTTCAAGTTGGTTTTCTGAAGGGCGAGTACCTGGACTTCGTGTCTCTGTAAATGTTGCCGTAAGTCATTTATCTTGTTTCGAAGCCCATTGGCATTCCACTGTATTATTGTGTGAAATAAGCTGCTTTTATTGCAGTGTTTCGTTTTTCACTTTGCGATGTGTTGTTCCCGATGAAGCAGTCTAGTTGCACCAGGAAGTGGCAAGTGGAACAACAATGTTGATAATTGGGATCATTGCTTGAGTGATGGGTGACTGGAGAGAAGTGAGGAAGGAGCGCAACAACGTTGGCAATTGTGCACAACCCATTACCAAGGCTTTGAGACTTGGGCGTTGCAACTGATCTTGGCTTCGTTTGAGCTGGGTATTGTCTTGCCCCTTTTCTTGGTACTTCTTGGTTCTTAGAAGTATTTTGGGTCGAAAAAGCTTCTGCATTCTTGGCTGAAGACTCTGGCTGCTCTGCAGACGGGACCGTTGGTTTCGGCATGATTTCTGACGACTGCGTATCCAACGGAGGGAAATCGGTTTCATTCATCTCTGGGATGATAGCTTTCTTGTCTCCTTTCAAGCTTTGCTTTTGCTTGTGGGGAGTGCGGTGCTTCTCCGGTCCTCGAACCTTTGTTCATTCGTGATGACAGTTTTAGCAGACGTATAGTCGACATTGTTCGAGCTTCTGTTGTTAGTTATCTGCTTTTCAGCTTTGTAGGCTGGGCAGTTCCGGGACGTGGCATCGTGGCCTCTCTTGCAGTTTATGCACCTTGGTTGTTTCGCTTCGGACTCGGTGACGACATGTTCTCCCCCACATCGGCTGCAGCGTTGCGTTTTGGAGCATGTGCTTGCCAGATGTCCGAAGCGGTTACACTTAGGACACTGCCGCGGTTTTTCAAGGTAGGAAAGGACACTGTATCGTGTGTGCCCCACAAAGACGTATTCTGGAGAGGTTCTGGTGGAGAAGACAAGCTTTACCGCCTCTGTCTTGCCGAGTCTCCTCACTTGAATGACTGGTGCTTTTTCCCTTATTGATGCCCACAGGTCCGCGTCTGTGATTTCTGTTGATACGCCGCGAATAACGCCAACATTGGAAGATGGGGTGCTGGCTCATACGTCTGAACTTGGATTGTGCCAAGCTTCTTCAGTTGAAGAAGGGACTTCGTTGATTCTATATTTCTTGCATCTATGGCCAATAGATTAAGGTGATAATTTGGTCGAATTTGGATTACTCCGTCTGGTGTCAGGTTTTCCAGCATCTGTTTCAGAGCCAGAGGATTCATGTTAGTGATGATTGTGGTCGGATTAGTAGGTTTGACAATGACCACAAGGTTGTGAGTCGGCTGAGTGATGATCGTCGCCTCACTGCAATTGGATCCGTGGCGTTGTTTCTTTGCTGCTTTGGTGATCCATCCACCTTCGTCATCAGACTCCTCCATGACGTTATCAGGGGAGCACTCAGAGATGTTGGATGATTCGGCTGATTGATCTGCGCTGCATGCTTGTAGCGGTGCGTTTAGATGGCTCATTTTCCTTAATCCCCGTTGGTCGGAGACGGGTCACTGCTTCAAGACCGGGGACAGCTGCCCCTCGTTGAAGAACGAGGGGTTGCGGCAGAATCGGTGGCAGATATATATGTAAAATTGTTATTTACCTCTAGAGCAATGTAGACAATGGTCCTACCGGACTCGTCGTCGTTTTTCGGCTGTTTCGACAACAGACAGTCCTTGCTGACAAGGTCAAGGGAAGGCGAATGATATCGTAAATTATTAAAGTGTTATTGACTTTTCTACTTTCTGAATCAACTTTTGCACGAAGTGACGAGTGTAATTTTTTGAACCGTTACCTTTGTTTCACTGCCGACTATCATCGATGCACTCACCTCATCATCTTCTGACTTGCTCTTTATATGAATCTTTGCAGGTTGAAAATGTATGCACCGCAGTCGTCTACACGGTTCAACGGCAGAAGATCAAACGGGTTGTGTACTACATATGCGAAGATCCTGAGAGCGAATTGACGGCGGCCCCGTTCGGAGCCTGGAAGACGCAGGCCCGAATCGACCCCAAGTACGAGAGTCTGGCGCACTACGCAGTGTCCACCCAAGTCGAAGGTCGAGAATACTACGACACGGTCCTCGGGATCTTGGAGGTGAAGACTCAGGTGAGAATTCCCCAGAATATTTGAGCGCTAAAAGAGATCACGCAGCGAATGTTCCTTGCCTCCTGCGTTCGAGCTGCCTCTTCGGGACGAACGCGTGACATCAGGTGTTCCAGCCATTGCCTCTTGCACTATGCTTTCGCTGCTTTGCTACGATTGACATATGTGTTATATCTTTGTCAAGCTCGATTAAGCGGTTAATTGGCCGAACAGGGATTATCGGGGCTCTCCGGTCAGGCGTGTCACCGCGCAGATCCGCTGCTAAAACTCTAAACCTCTTTTGCGCCTCATCATCCACCCAGATTGCAGCGGTGAACTCTATTAAATGGCCTGTGGCAGAGAAACACACCGGATTTCATTGAGTGTAATATGATTAGCCCTTTGGCAAGCCTGATAATGTGTAAAGCCTATCAGCTCACGTCTGGCTCACCTTTTGGGACTTTCTTTCCGCAACTCTAATCTCAACTTTCACGTCGGCCATCAGATAAAGAAACGCAAAGAGTAGCATGAAAACAGTTTCGCTATTTTTTTGTCAAGTAAAGGTCTCGTCAACCGGTAACAACCTTAGTTATCTTGTGAACGCGTGGTGAGAAAGGGAGCTCAGTGTCGTCTTTTTTTTAACGCACCTGTCTTATGCTCGGTATCCATGCAATTGTGTTTGCTATTGCATCGAGCAGATTGTGGACGGCGTGATGTACATGTTGAAGTTTACAACGACTCAATCGACGTGCAAGATCGAAGCCGGCGTGGAATACTCCAAGCTGAACTGCCATCCCAGGACAAGCAAGGTTTGTGTTTGCTTTGCACGGCGTCGTCGCCAGCCGGTCCGCGGGTATTTGCCATCATATTAGATCATTCTTGCTACAGCTGCGGGTGAGAACCATGATAGTTGTCTTCTTAATAAAACGCAAGATTATGCTAAACAGTTCATTCCAAGCTGATAATTCATTATTTCATATTGTTTATCAGTAAGCTGCTTTTAGCTTCAGTCGGCATGAAGATTATAAGAACGTACTATATTTCGGGCGTGAGTCTAGTTACAGAAATTTTAATATTGTTTTCTTTTTACACGTGAGTAAATATCATGTACAATGTTTCGGTTTCACGCATAAAATTGTTCATCTGCATAATTTATCTCGCAATGATTAGATTGACATGTTTTTTTTTTTTTAATGCAAATAGGGATGAACAAGCCGACATGGAAAAGCGATAGTCCCTTTCTTTGTATTCGCCTACAATCCTGCCTTGTGAACATAAACCGTTCGCCCAAAAGTCGCCAATATTCTGTCCATCATACTGAAACAAAACTGCACGTATTTCCCCAGTTCATCGCCAGAAAGTTTGTTCATATAGATCGTTGTGTATCTTAACCGGAACTGTAGTAATAAGACATGGGAATGTTTTTTTTTTTTTTGAGCACCATGCACTGACTAGCTACTAACAAGTTTTGTTAACTTGCATAGGTCGGTGGCGTCAACCAGGAGCCAACAGAAGCAAATTCAACTAAACGCAACTGAAAGCGGGTGCAGCGAGAGTGTTCGATTGTGTGCTTCAAAGGCGTTTCAGCGATCCTGCAGTTTTCTCAGTTTGCTTGTACGGATGGGTTACCCATTTTTTCGATATTGGTTCGTCGGGAGTTTTTTTAAACACACTGCTTTTTAAACACACGTTAGCAGTTGGACGATTCCCTGCGAAGCGGAGTGTGACTTTCGTAACACAGCAGGTTTTAATCCTACCTGGAGCAATCAAGCGGAAGTTACACAAGATTTGCTACCCGGCGTCAATGTGCTGCTTCTATCTTGAGTTGACAGGCAGAGCGAAACTTATATATGTATTGGTGGCTCTCACTGATCTCTATGTCTATTTGCTGGATCGCGTTTGACCAGCTCCTCCTATGGACCGGAATGCGGTCACTGGCGGCCATCTTTAGGTAGAGTTATATCATCTCTAGCCATCATAGTAATATGGCGGACAGTGCAATGGCGGCAGTCTGCCATAAAATAGCCGTAGATCTAGTACACGGTACCGTGGGTGACATTTCGTGCTTGATTGAAGTTGTTCGACGAAGCATATTCTTGAAACCCGGCGTGAACGGTAGCCTCATCTTTGAGGACCCGGCAAAAGTAATACGAAAGCGCAGCACCGGGGGAAAGCAGCGCAGCTCGCATCAAAAGCAGACTCCGTACCGTCGACTGCTTTCGATGCTTCTTTCGATGCGACTTTTGATACGGGCTGTGCTGCTTTTCTCCCGGTGCTGCGATTTCGTGAAACTTTTACCAGGTCCTCAAAAACCGGACTACTGTTCACGCCGGGTTTCAAAAACATGTTTCGTCAAATAATTTTAATCAAGCACGCAATATCACCCACGCTATTTTGACCGCAGCCTGCCAACCCACCTGCCAAAACGCTATCTGCCATGGATAGATGATAGTGGCTGCAGCAGCTTACATTGGCTAGAGGTGATATAGCTCTACCTAAAGATGGCCGCCAGTGACCGCATTCGCGGAGCGGGCAAACGCAATCCAGCAATTGTCATAGAGATCAGTGGTGGCTCTGCATAGGGACAAGAGTCAGCTCCTCCTGTAATTCCTACTGAGCCATATTTTCATTCTGCCCTGACAACTCGCCGGCTGTTTCTAGTATAGTCGGTTGCAAGCTAAGAACAATCTTTTAGCTCCACCCACAAGCGCATTGCGCCCATCTGAAGTGCCTCCGCTGTCGAGAAAGTAGTTCGCTAGCAACGCTGCTTTTTCTTCCTCCAGGAAACGTGTCTTAAACTACTACATTATTTATTTAATTCATTCAGGACATTTAAATAAGTTAGAATACGTTTTGTCAACGAAATAGCTGTTTATTAAAGAAAGAAAGTCATGTCCAATGTACCGTCTTCCCAATTCATTTTCTGTCCAAGATACTGTCTAACATACCGTCTTCCAGCGCCTCTGATTGAGGGAAAGCTGCTGGGGAAAGCGAAGCACTTATAATTCTTGCAAAATAATAAATATTTAGTGATTTACTTAGTTTTGTGGGCTTTGCGCAAGAAATGTGCCTTTATTTTGTTGGATGAATAGAAAACAAGAATAATTATACTTTTCGGGTTTTGACAAATCGGCACCCTCCGAAGTCATCGAAACCACCACCGCGCCCCGCTCTCCTTGTCTTCCGTCATGGATCCCACTGAGGTCACATCGGAAAGCGATTCCCCTGATTCTTCTTGGACCAAACAGCCTGGTGCAGCCTTACCGGCGACACCAAAGCGGTTCTTCAAGAAGCGCAATCCAACGAAGCAGACGACGTCCGGCGTAGCTTCTCACCTCTCAGCAGTGCTAAGCCTCGCGCCCGCTTCGAAATTTTCGTTAGCGATAGCGTCGCTGGATTCTCACGTTGTCGCGCAGAAACTGCTGCAAACGCAAGCCGATACCATTAAGATTTCGTGGCGTAACCTCGGGTACGTAAAACACGGTGCAAAAAAGCAGAATAATTGTCACGAGAAACTAGCGTCGCGTTGCTAAGGCCAGCAGCCATGTTGAGCTTTTTTTTTTTCAAAAGGATCGCGATTGGTCCACAGAATCGTGACGTCAAGAAAACGATTGGCTGGCGTTTCTCGGCGTAGGATTACATTTTCCTCTGAGAGGCATTTCCGGTTTTTTCTTAGCTTGCAACCGACTATAGTAGTTAGTGGTGAGGGTAGCGGAAAGCCGGAACATGTTGGCCACTCCTTTAGTGGGGGCGAGTTAGTTCCGAGGAAGGAAAAGGGAGGAAAGGGGAGATCAGAAAAAGTTAAAGAAAGTAGAGAGGTCAATAAAAAGAACGGATTGAAAAGAGAAGAGATGTAAATGGGAGGAAAGGGGATCAAAAAGAAAAAAGAAGAAAGAATAAAAAAAAAGGAACGATTGGTCAGCAGTTCTTGTGACTCGGTTGTTGATGAGTTGCCATCGCCCAGTGTATGTCAAACACCGGAGTTAGAGGCGGTCAAATAAACTGGTGTCGTCCAAGAACTTGAGAAGTGCGGCGAATGTTCTCGAGACATCGCGTGCAGAACCTGGGGGAAAAAGAATGTCCTGTGTTGTAGCACTTGCTACGCCTGCTTGCCGCAGCCTGCCGAGAAACGATTTTCTTTTGTCCGCTGGAGTAGGGCAGGTCCAGAGGAGATGGTCCTGGTCCTCGGGAACATCACAGGATAGACAGTTTGGGTTTATTGTTGGGTCCATACGGTGAAGGGCTTTCGTAGTAAAGGCATAACCAGTGCGAGGTCTGTGGAGTAGAGAAGTGGAGGCTCGGGACAGCTTTGGAGGCACGCGTGCGGGTGGCTTCCCGGTAGAGACGCGCGTGTCCGGATGTAGTTTCTCTATTTCTTTGTGAATAATAAGTCTGGCCTCATACATCTTCGGTGTAACAAGCATTAGTACATGAATGTGGTGAGGTGCATTAGCGAGACGATCGGCTGTCTCATTGCCCGAGATACCGACGTGTGATGGGAGCGACTGGTATGCTATATGCCATCCTTTAGACTCTAAGTTTCTTGTCATGTGTCCAGTGTATCTGGCATATTGTGGGGCGTCTTCAAAGCTACCGAGAAGTTGTAAAGCTATTCTGGAATCTGTGAGGAACACTGCTTTCCACTATGAGGAATACTGTCGAGGATGTCAAGGCCTAGCCAAAGCGCGGCAAGTTCGGCAGTGGCAGATGTAGTGTGAAAGCTCAGTTTCCTTGATTTGGCCATTTTTAGCTCCGGTATAAAAACTGCTGCAGTGGATGATTTGCGGCTATTAAGTACCGAGCCGTCGGTATATAAACGCATCCATCCTGGAAAATCGACCTCAATTCGGTATTCTGCGAGGGTCCGAGCGAAAACTTGTGCAGTGAAGTGTTTGCTTCTGAGTTCCGGAATAGATTCACTGATGTTCAGCGGCGAGGCGTAAGGTGGTGGTGCCGGGTGGATAGTATTAAGGTGCCCACAATTCATTCAAAGACTCTAGAGAGATCCAAGGCGAGATTGCGGACAACTTCGAATATGGTTCAAGAGGGCCCTGTTGACCGGCAGGAGGTTTGCCTTGCGATGTGGCGAAGTGTCAGCTCTCTGCCGTGGTTCCCGACAAGGTTGACCCTCGCTTCAACCAGCGTTGGAATGTTCGGGGAGTATCTCGGTAAACCCAGACAGAAGCGAAGTGCAATCCTTTGGATAGTCTCAATGCCTGCAGACTGTTCATTGCTCACGTGAATCAGCGGCAAGACGTATAATAATCTCGAGAGAATGAGGCCTCTGTATAGCTGTAGCATCATGACCTGAGACGTTCCCCACCTGCTGCCCATCATCATTCGAATGCCGTTGGGGTGGCGGCGAATATAATTGGGTTGTGGGGATATTTATACAGCGTGTAGTTGGTCTGCCATTAATGTTGCGACGAGTCACACGCTGTAGATGAGCAATTTAGCCAGTCCAGTACAACCGCTAGCCTGGGGTCTTTAACGTGCACCACGCAGTAGTGATACACGACCGCACGCCGGTACGATGCTCATCCAGATCGAAACGGGCAGGGGTGGTGCTCGAACCTAGGATCCCTGGGTTCTGCAGCGCGAGCTTTCGCTCCACGCGCGTCGAGCTGGGTGTGCGCGGGGTGGCGGCGATATCTGATTAGTGTTGCCTTGACTGCACGCTTCCAGGAGATGCGGTCATCCAGAAGAAACCCCAGGTAGGAGTAGGTCCGGACACGTGCTACGTCTGTTCCGTTAATTGTGTAGATTCTGTTGATCGATGCTCTAGCCGTTGGATCATATTGAAGGGCAGCTGTTTTGGAGGAAGAAAGCGTAAGGCCTAGTCTAGAGATCTCGTCTACAACTATAGTCAATCCGTCCTGGAGGGTTTGTTGCATCTTGCTATATATCTTAGTCGGGGCGGTAGTCCAGAGGGCCACGTCGTCAGCGTATATAGCGATGTTAATGACTGGTCCCGATGACTTCATACGCCGGAGAGCCTCAGGCAGTGCCGCCTTCGAATTCCACCTAGGCGTACGTGCATAGACCTTCCTGTAAGAAAGGCGCGTACGAATGCCAGAGCTCGGCCTGCGACCCCGAGCCTTGTAAGCTGAGCAATAATGGTTTCTTGTGGAATTGCATCGACAGCTTTCTTAATATCGAGAAATATTGCTGTTGTAGCTTGCCCTGTTGCCTTCGATTGTTCAATGTCTGATACGAGGCTGGCGATCGCGTCTGTCGTACAACGTTGTTTGCGGAAGCCAGACAGCTGATTAGGCAGGGCGCCCGATGTCTCGAGCTGCCAGTCAAGGCGCCGTAGGACTATTCGCTCCATCACCATCCCTAGACAGCACGTAAGAGATATCGGTCCATACGAGCTGGTGGCACCTATCGGTTTTCCTGGTTTATGAATGGGAACAACCTCAGATCTGAGCCAGGCAGTAGGAATATCAGACGAGCGCCAAATATGATTTAAGTATTCCAGAAAGCCTGGAAGCGTCGTATCATCAAGGTTACGAAGCGCTTGAAAAGTTATCCCATCTGGGCCTGGTGCGGTGCGTTTCCGAGAAGAACGCTGAAAAGCATGCTGTAGTTCACTCAGCGTGAAATCGGAGTTGCCGGCAACCTGCGCTGGCGTGCTAGTAGCAGTGGCTGCGACAAATCCCTGTGGCGGAGCAGGAGCAGGGGTGAATTCATCAGCAGGGAGTTCCGCGGCTTGAGGCAACGTGTTGTTCTGCGCGATAACAAGGCCGAGGACCGGTGAGCGGGGAACAGCATGACCCGCCAGGATGCGGGCCATTCGCCATGCTTGCCTTCCGCCACCGGAAGAGTGAAGGGTCTCACATCGCTGTTGCCATTGTTTCCGATGTAAGCGCTTGTTATGCCCTACGAAATGCCGCATCAATCCTTCGATACCATTGTATATCCTCTTGTCTTGATGTTTTCAAGGCACGTCGTTGTGCTTTGCGGCGCGAAGCACGTAGCCTTAGGTATTTTAGGTCTGGGTTGGGTCTATACATAGGAACCGTAACTCTCCGTGTCGCTTTGCTGAGCGCCTGAGAGATGGCGGTCGTGTGATCAGTGATGCCAGTAGATATTATATCTTCGAAGTACACTCGGTAGGCATCCCACTTTGTTACAGAACAAGTCTGATGGGTGACAGGTATTTTCTCTGGGGAAGTGAGTATAATAGGGAGATGGTTACTGACCCAGCTGTCGGGTGCGGCGAGCCAGAGCCCACGTACTGCAGCAGTGGCGAAACTCAGGTCGAGCACACTGTTCTCTACGCCAGGTCTCAGAAAGGTTGCAGTCCCGTCATTCAGACACGGGAGGCCAATAGCTGTAGTGGTATCCTCTAGAGACCGGCCACGAGCGGACGTTTGCTTGTCCCCCCAGGCCTCGTTGTGGGCGTTAAAGTCCCCAAAGATCAGCGTGGCCGGCTCACACCGAGAAAGAATCGTGCGTAAGACGGAAGGGTTCCATGGAGATGTAGGCTGAATATATACCGATATGATTGTCATGGCGCCCGAGTTGTCTTTTTGTATCGTGACAGCCACGTATTCTGCGCTTGGTCGCAGAGATCTGAAAGATCCACTTGGAACTGAGGTAAGTCTCTGTGTATAAATAGAGATGCCTTAGGTGCGTCTGTTGTTGTTGATGTTGTTCGGGGAGTACTAGTGTAGATAACATTGGGAGATAGTCGGATCGCTCCTTTCTTCAAGTTGGTTTTCTGAAGGGCGAGTACCTGGACTTCGTGTCTCTGTAAATGTTGCCGTAAGTCATTTATCTTGTTTCGAAGCCCATTGGCATTCCACTGTATTATTGTGTGAAATAAGCTGCTTTTATTGCAGTGTTTCGTTTTGCACTTTGCGATGTGTTGTTCCCGATGAAGCAGTCTAGTTGCACCAGGAAGTGGCAAGTGGAACAACAATGTCGATAATTGGGATCATTGCTTGAGTGATGGGTGACTGGAGAGAAGTGAGGAAGGAGCGCAACAACGTTGGCAATTGTGCACAACCCATTACCAAGGCTTTGAGACTTGGGCGTTGCAACTGATCTTGGCTTCCTTTGAGCTGGGTATTGTCTTGCCCCTTTTCTTGGTACTTCTTGGTTCTTAGAAGTATTTTGGGTCGAAACAGCTTCTGCATTCTTGGCTGAAGACTCTGGCTGCTCTGCAGACGGGACCGTTGGTTTCGGCATGATTTCTGACGACTGCGTATCCAACGGAGGGAAATCGGTTTCATTCATCTCTGGGATGATAGCTTTCTTGTCTCCTTTCAAGCTCTGCTTTTGCTTGTGGGGAGTGCGGTGCTTCTCCGGTCCTCGAACCTTTGTTCATTCGTGATGACAGTTTTAGCAGACGTATAGTCGACATTGTTCGAGCTTCTGTAGTTAGTTATCTGCTTTTCAGCTTTGTAGGCTGGGCAGTTCCGGGACGTGGCATCGTGGCCTCTCTTGCAGTTTATGCACCTTGGTTGTTTCGCTTCGGACTCGGTGACGACATGTTCTCCCCCACATCGGCTGCAGCGTTGCGTTTTGGAGCATGTGCTTGCCAGATGTCCGAAGCGGTTACACTTAGGACACTGCCGCGGTTTTTCAAGGTAGGAAAGGACACTGTATCGTGTGTGCCCCACAAAGACGTATTCTGGAGAGGTTCTGGTGGAAAAGACAAGCTTTACCGCCTCTGTCTTGCCGAGTCTCCTCACTTGAATGACTGGTGCTTTTTCCCTTATAGATGCCCACAGGTCCGCGTCTGTGATTTCTGTTGATACGCCGCGAATAACGCCAATATTGGAAGATGGGGTGCTGGCTCATACGTCTGAACTTGGATTGTGCCAAGCTTCTTCAGTTGAAGAAGGGACTTCGTTGATTCTATATTTCTTGCATCTATGGCCAATAGATTAAGGTGATAATTTGGTCGAATTTGGATTACTCCGTCTGGTGCCAGGTTTTCCAGCATCTGTTTCAGAGCCAGAGGATTCATGTTAGTGATGATTGTGGTCGGATTAGTAGGTTTGACAATGACCACAAGGTTGTGAGTCGGCTGAGTGATGATCGTCGCCTCACTGCAATTGGATCCGTGGCTTTGTTTCTTTGCTGCTTTGGTGATCCATCCACCTTCGTCATCAGACTCCTCCATGACGTTATCAGGGGAGCACTCAGAGATGTTGGATGATTCGGCTGATTGATCTGCGCTGCATGCTTGTAGCGGTGCGTTTAGATGGCTCATTTTCCTTAATCCCCGTTGGTCGGAGACGGGTCACTGCTTCAAGACCGGGGACAGCTGCCCCTCGTTGAAGAACGAGGGGTTGCGGCAGAATCGGTGGCAGATATATATGTAAAATTGTTATTTACCTCTAGAGCAATGTAGACAATGGTCCTACCGGACTCGTCGTCGTTTTACGGCTGTTTCGACAACAGACAGTCCTTGCTGACAAGGTCAAGGGAAGGCGAATAATATCGTAAAATATTAAAGTGTTATTGACTTTTCTACTTTCTGAATCAACTTTTGCACGAAGTGACGAGTGTAATTTTTTGAACCGTTACCTTTGTTTCACTGCCGACTATCATCGATGCACTCACCTCATCATCTTCTGACTTGCTCTTTATATGAATCTTTGCAGGTTGAAAATGTATGCACCGCAGTCGTCTACACGGTTCAACGGCAGAAGATCAAACGGGTTGTGTACTACATATGCGAAGATCCTGAGAGCGAATTGACGGCGGCCCCGTTCGGAGCCTGGAAGACGCAGGCCCGAATCGACCCCAAGTACGAGAGTCTGGCGCACTACGCAGTGTCCACCCAAGTCGAAGGTCGAGAATACTACGACACGGTCCTCGGGATCTTGGAGGTGAAGACTCAGGTGAGAATTCCCCAGAATATTTGAGCGCTAAAAGAGATCACGCAGCGAATGTTCCTTGCCTCCTGAGTTCGAGCTGCCTCTTCGGGACGAACGCATGACATCAGGTGTTCCAGCCATTGCCTCTTGCACTATGCTTTCGCTGCTTTGCTACGATTGACATATGTGTTATATCTTTGTCAAGCTCGATTAAGCGGTTTATTGGCCGAACAGGGATTATCGGGGCTCTCCGGTCAGGCGGGTCACCGCGCAGATCCGTTGCTAAAACTCTAAACCTCTTTTGCGCCTCATCATCCACCCAGATTGCAGCGGTGAACTCTATTAAATGGCCTGTGGCAGAGAAACACACCGGATTTCATTGAGTGTAATATGATTAGCCCTTTGGCAAGCCTGATAATGTGTAAAGCCTATGAGCTCACGTCTGGCTCACCTTTTGGGACTTTCTTTCCGCAACTCTAATCTCAACTTTCACGTCGGCCATCAGATAAAGAAACGCAAAGAATAGCATGAAAACAGTTTCGCCATTTTTTTGTCAAGTAAAGGTCTCGTCAACCGCTAACAACCTTAGTTATCTTGTGAACACGTGGAGAGAAAGGGAGCTCAGTGTCGTCTTTTTTTTAACGCACCTGTCTTATGCTCGGTATCCATGCAATTGTGTTTGCTATTGCATCGAGCAGATTGTGGACGGCGTGATCTACATGTTGAAGTTTACAACGACTCAATCGACGTGCAAGATCGAAGCCGGCGTGGAATACTCCAAGCTGAACTGCCATCCCAGGAGAAGCAAGGTTTGTGCTTGCTTTGCACGGCGTCGTCGCCAGCCGGTCCGCGGGTATTTGCCATCATATTAGATCATTCTTGCTACAGCTGCGGGTGAGAACCATGATAGTTGTCTTCTTAATAAAACGCAAGATTATGCTAAACAGTTCATTCCAAGCTGATAATTCATTATTTCATATTGTTTATCAGTAAGCTGCTTTTAGCTTCAGTCGGCATGAAGATTATAAGAACGTACTATATTTCGGGCGTGAGTCTAGTTACAGAAATTTTAATATTGTTTTCTTTTTACACGTGAGTAAATATCATGTACAATGTTGCGGTTTCAGGCATAAAATTTTTCATTCGCATAAGTTATCTCGCAATAATTAGATTGACATGTTTTTTTAATGCAAATAGGGATGAACAAGGCGACATGGAAAAGCGATAGTCCTTTTCTTTGTATTCGCCTACAATCATGCCTTGTGAACATGAACTGTTCGCCCAAAAGTCGCCCATATTGTGTCCATCATACTGAGACAAAACTGCACGTATTCCCCAGTTCCTCGCCAGAAAGTTGGTTCATATAGATGGTTGTGTATCTTAACCGGAACCATTGTAATAAGACCTGAGAATTTTTTTTTTGAGCACCATGCAGTGACTAGCTACTAACAAGTTTTGTTAAATTGCATAGTTTGGTGGCGTCAACCAGGAGCCAACAGAAGCTAATTCAACTAAACGCAACTGAACGCGGGTGCAGCGAGAGTGTTCGATTGTGTGCTTCAAAGGCGTTTCAGCGATCCTGCAGTTTTCTCAGTTTGTTTGTACGGATGGGTTACCCATTTTTTCGATCTTGGTTCGTCGGGAGTCTTTTTAAACACACTGCTTTTTAAACACACGTTAGCAGTTGGACGATTCCCCGCGAAGCGTAGTGTAACTTTCGTTACACAGCAGGGTTTAATCCTACCTGGAGCAATCAAGCGGAAGTTACACAACCTTTGCCTCCCGGCGTCAATGTGCTCCGTCTATTTTGAGTTGACAGGCAGAGCGAAACTTATATATGTATTGGTGGCTCTGGATGGGGACAAGAGCCAGTTCCTCCTGCAAGTCGTACTGAGCCATATTTTCATTCTCCCCTGACAACTCGCCGGCTGTTTCTACAAGAGACACTCCTTGCTGACATGGTTAAGGGAAGGCGAATGATATCGTAAAGTATTAAAGTGTTATTGACGTTTCTACTTTCTGAATCAACTTTTGCACGAAGTGACGAGTGTAATTTTTTGAACCGTTACCTTTGTTTCACTGCCGACTATCATCGATGCACTCACCTCATCATCTTCTGACTAGCTCTTTATATGAATCTTTGCAGGTTGAAAATGTATGCACCGCAGTCGTCTACACGGTTCAACGGCAGAAGATCAAACGGGTTGTGTACTACATATGCGAAGATTCTGATTATGTCGAGGTCGCTTGACGTCAGCCGCATGTTAAATGACATGAAACGATGCATGGAGGTTATAAATATAGAATGATTCAGCATTAAAAAACAACAACGTTTTGATAATGCGCTTTTAAAATCCTCTGATTGTATATGGGACCCAGACAGGCTCGTTACAGTAATTCTTCTTGCATCAATTAATACGTTGAAAATGCTCACTGCTATCATCTTCCAGTGCTGATGCAGTAACACTGGACGCAGGATGAACGCAAATGGTTTTTCCGGACCACCACCAAAGCGACAAATTCGGTCAAATCTAGAACGTGTCTCGAGGTGGTTTCTAAAGGTTGCTTGCTTGATGTTGAGTAAAAAATAAATACACAAAACTTGACTGTTTGGTTCTTGTTCCTTCATCTCGACACACCTGTATCTTAGGCGAATGGTTCCTATTTTCTTTTTTGGGGGGGATATTTGAATAAAGTGAGCATCAAGGTTTACAAAGCTTGACATACCTTGTCGTTGTTGAGTTTCCCTGCAGTCTGCTGGCTGCATTGCGCAAGTAGAATAAATATGTATAACCCAAAATCAAACCATTCGTTTTATTATATTCGTCTTTTACGAGCCAATGCTTTATTTCTTGTGTTTGTGTACGCAATAAATTGTTTTATATCCTCAAGTACGTAAAAAAATGTTCCAGAATGTTACACCTATGACGATACCTTTTCTGCACCCTTATTTAAAGACATGCACTCTTTAAAGTGGTAAGGTAGGGCGTTGTGGCATGAATCACTGTTCATTATTTCAACGGCGTAAAAATTTGAAAAGGGGAGCTGGGGCGTAATATGGCGAAGCGATAATATATCCGCCTTATGGTACGTTCATGTGGATCAGTCAACAGGCCTGCGATGCGGATCTCTTGTCTGTTTTGCGGCGTTCTACGTCTGCATTCGTGTAATGCTGTTGCCAGTGAACGGTATGGGGCGCAGAGCTCCGGAAATGATATTTGAGGCTTGTCTAGGATAATCTTGATATTCAAAGTAAAAAATAAAAAAAAAAGAAATTAAAAGGCGTAAAAATTGTAGTGCATGCAAATATAAATATTTAACTACGCAACATATTCCCTCTGTAATATTTAATTCTTAAAACTCACAGCTATGCGTTCCCGACTAAAACAAAAGGAAAAGTGCAGGCTCACTTTGCGGAGCAAAAAGCTAGATGACTAGTTTTCAATAAGGCGGCCGAGTACATCAGGAATACAAGAACGCGTTCAATCGTCATTTAGGTCATGCTTACGCGACTCCGCTTAAAATTGTCAGAAGCCAAGAATCAGCACCTCGTACATTTTTTCACGGGATGACAGGTGAGTTTATACGGGCAATACTCGGCATCAATATGGATGTGCGAGGTTTTGTGACGTAACTGAAGATTTCCGCACTCTCAAGCAGCTTTGCACCTATGGTCGCTAGAAACAGCGACGCTGCCAAATCAGCAGCAACGCTGACGGACAAACGTGCGTCACAGCAAAATAATAATGAAAAATAATTTCTAATATCTTTAGAACTAGAGCAAGGATCTCCACGTGAAAGATGTATAAAACAAGTAAAGAAACCACACTATTATCACATTGGTGTGGCCGTGTACACAGCGTATCATCAACTGACACCCACCCCTTCAAGTATGACATTTCGTGACTTATAAGCACACTACTTGCCTCAAGAAACGCTAGAGAATTTTTTTTTAGAATTTGTGTGATTAAAAGTTTCATGAGTTCATGTAGGATCAGGGAAACCAGTATCACATTTGAGGAATCGTCACATGAGCGTCTTTGTTTTTGTCAAATGTCTGCTTTCAATGGTCAATACACTCAACCAAGCAAGCAGAGAATCAAAAAGGGCAATAAAGTGACTGCGAAGAAGCAGTCAAGCAGTCAAGCAGTCAGGTACATCCTCGTGCAGCCTAGAAGGCGACTGAATGGGTACCTTCAGTGAGATGTGCTTCGGGAAGAGCTTTGGTAGCACTCCCCAATTTGCTTTATGACGTTATGCCAAAGAACTTCTCAAAGCAGCCGTCTCATTCCTGTGTATTTGACAGTACAATGCGGACGAATTGTCCTTTAGTTCGTTTTCACAGATATAGTGTGGAGCTACGGCAGTTTGCCGTTAGCTTCAAGTATTTCAGGGCCTCGCCGCCGACGCCGAGCCAACGGTCGGGCTTCACAAGTTTCGGACGCTATGAAATTCGACTTGGACATCAACCAATATTTGTCGTAACTAGCGAAATCAGAATAAATATGAGTGTGTGTTTCAGTGACTACGCTGAAACGCACCAAAACCGTGCAAAAGTTTGGTCGATTTTGAGAGATATGAATGGAACCTTTTGAAATTTAAACGCTATGCCCAAGATAATATATATATATATATATATATATATATATATATATATATATATATATATATATAAATATATATATATATATATTATCTTGGGCATGGTGGCGGGAGGCCGGAAGGGCGCCACGAGAGCGCACGACGGGAAAGCGCCGCGACACGAGAGCGCACGTGCGCGCCTTGGGAGTGATAGGTATTGGAGTCTTCAAACACATGTTTTCTCGGATAGCGCAGTTTTTTGCACGTAAGTTAGTTGCCCAATAGATCGTAAATTATATGCAACATAGAAGGCGTTTTTTTTTAATTTCTTTTATCAATACGATATTTGTTTTTAATGTAGGGCTTTGTGCTTTGTGGATTTTGTCTTCAATGTGTGCTGTTCAAAGTTGGTGGACATTAGAGGTGCCAATATACGGTAAAATGTGTACGTGTCCAACGAGGACCAACAATCACGTCGAGTCCTGGCACAATGCATTCCACACGTACAACCTAGTGGCCGCCTTCCAAAGAGAGCAAAGCTTGACAAAGCAGAAGCTGGAGGATGTACTTTTTGGAGGGCCTCAAAGGAGCAGCAAGGCCTCAAAGGAGGGCCTCAAAGGAGCAGCAGACCTACGTTCGCGTAGCGAAGAATCGGACAAGCTAAATAGTTGAAGAGTGCGACTATAGGTGCATGCTAGACTATTTCCGCTGTTTCGCGCAATCATTCAATCGATAATTTTTCTTTTTTTTTCAACTTTTGAATTTCGATTGATAAAGATTTATATTTCCGAAACTCTGTATCTTGCTTCTTAATTTCGAGTTTGCGAAAATTTTTATTTTTTAGACTTTTCACAGGTCTGCGTAGTCAACAAATAAAATGACGTAAAGCGTTCGATCCGACAAAACATGTGTTTGAAGACTCAAACATCGATCATTCCAAAGGCGCATACATGCGCCCTCGTGACGCACGCTCTAATGGCACGCGCTCTCGTGTCGCGGCGCTCTCCTGTCGCGCGCTGTCCCGTCGGCGCTCTCGTGGCGTGCGCTCTCGTGTCGTACAGCCCGGGAGGCCGAAGGCGTGGGCTTATAAATGAGAAGAAAAAAACCCTTGGTGAAAACAGCAACAACGGACGATTTATTCTTCGACGTTTCGGCCGGAGTCCGGCCTTCGTCAAGAAGACAATTATATATATATATATATATATACGGTAAGAAGGTTCAACGGGCCGGCTGGACGTAACACGAAAGTGGAGGAGATCCAGGAAAGGCCTTTCTTTACTGCACCGACGTTTCAAGCGGGGACCTCTTTTCTTCAGGGTGAATGGTTGTGAAATGTCCTCTTCTTCTTGTTGACGTTCGTGTGGAAGAGGAAGAGTTACTATGAAGGGTATTCAAAATATTCAGAACAGGAGCAAAAAAATTATCGTAAATCTTTGAAATTAGTAATTATAAACAATGTTAATCCAAATCAATAAAACGAAATAAATTGATTTGTAGTATTTGGCACAGTCTTTGTCACAGCTCCTAAGCACAATGACCCCCGAGCAACCGGAGCGCACACAAAAGTAGCAATGAGGATGTGTTCGGGATTAACACCGCTTCGAGATCGGAGATCTAGACAGCGCAAGGGTGCCGTGGCGGTTTTTTATGAAGTATTTATGTCATATTTGAATGATGTTTACGCGCCCAAGAATTTAACGCAGCGGAAGGATTACCACGGGACGCACGCTCACGAGGATGTTCACGAGAGGCGTGGAACGAGCTCACGATGGCAGGCGCCTTTGGTGCAACAATGTCATCGACGCGCTCGGCTAGTACAGTCCGTGCAAAACGAAAATAATTCTGTGGCCTCGGTCCTACACACAGCGTGGCAGCCAAGTGAGCACGCCTGGACTTGCATTAATACCACAAGCAACCGAATTGAATTTGTGAATGAAAAAAGCCTCCTTCAACTCTCTGTCGTGATCAGAGCTAAATACAGATTCCAGAAGGATGACACGTATTTTTTCAATGCTATGCTCTTTAAGATGCATGTGTTTTGAGAAGGGGAGCGAGGGTAAGGACTTGATATGAGACTTGTGATTGTTGAAACGCAATCGAAATGAAGTACTGGTTTGTCCTATATAATCCATGTTACATAGTTTACAGCGTAAAAGATAAATAACGTTACGCGTACCGCAGTTGAGGTTTCCAGTGATTTTGAAAGAGAAGCCAGAGTTCGCGCTAGTGACAAGATTGGTGGTTTTGACATATTCACAAATTTCACACTTGGGCGCCTGGCAAGGTCTACAACCAGAAACGTCAGAAGTTCTATTTTTCGAGCGCACCAATATGTCCTTAAGGTTTCTACCTCGTCGATATACCACGCGTGGTGATACCGGAAAAAGGGTGCGTAGTTTATCGCTTTGCTGCAAAATACTGTGATGTTTCCTGAGAATATTGTTTAAATTTGGAAGGCGGGCTGAATATGTAACCACCAGGTTTGCGTGCTCGTTTTGTGACATTTTGGGTTGGGGTTGATTGATAATTTGCTCTCGGTCGAGAGCACGTGCTTTTTCAATGGCCTTATCGACAATGGCTGGTGGATAATTCTGCTTGGATAGCACGAGTTTCAGATTGCTGGCGTTGCGTTCGAATTCATCTAAACTGGAGCATATTCTCCGGAATCTTTGAGCTTGAGAAAAGGGAATGCTTGTTTTGCAATGTTTAGGGTGGAAGCTCTTGAAGTGCAGGTATTGTTGACGGTCCGTCGACTTCCTGAAGAGTTTTGTTGTAAGAGCATTCCCGCTGATCTCGACTGTCACGTCAAGAAAGTCAATGCTCGTTTTAGAATAAAAAGATTTGCATAGTTAGGGGCCATCTTTGTGCCCATTGCAGTTCCCCGAGTCTGTAGAAAGTGTCGTCCTTCGAATTCAAAGTTGTCGTGTTCTAAAACTAACCTGAGAAGTGTTGCGAGGACGTCGTTGTTGACACGAATTGTTGGAGGGTCATTGTTATACGCCTTGATTACTGCTTCGATGCCATCCTGGTGAGGGATGTTTGTATATAAGGACGCAATATCCATGGTGACCAGGATTGCGTCAGTAGGAATTACAAGTTCTGTTATTTCTCGAAGAAAGTGATTTGTGTCCTTTATGTATGATGGCATCGTAGGAGGAAGGTTCATAATAAGGAAATTGACAAAGCTAGAAATTCTCTCTGTCACCGTGTCTATTCCGGATACAATTGGTCGTCCAGGATTTCCTTGTTTGTGAATTTTAGGTAATGTGTAAAAGCGGCCAGCCTTTGGATAGGCCGGCTTCATTGCTTTATGCATCTCCTCCGAAATGTCTCTATTATCCAGCATTAAATCCAAAGTGTCCGTTATTAGTTTAGTGAATTTCTTGGTCGGATCTGCTTGAAGTTCTTTGTAAAATTGTTGGTTCATTAGCTGGCGAAATCCTTCATTTAGATAGTCTTGCTTATTCATAAAAACTATGGCTCCTCCTTTGTCAGTAAATTTAATAATAATATCATCTCTTGAGCTGAGTTCACGCATACCGATGCGTTCAGCAGGAGTGAGATTGTGACGTAGACATTTTCGTTGTTGATAGTTTCTGATCACATCACGCTGTACCGATTCGATGTACAAATCAAGGTACTTGTCGCGTTGCTCTTTTGGAGTCCATGACTTATTCGAAGTATTAGGAATGCGCTCTCTGGTGTCTTGCGGATGATCGTGGAAATACTCTCTGAGTCTCAGGTTTCTCGCGAAGTTATCGAGGTCCTTATATATTTGAAATTCATTGTATTCTCCTGACGTGGGGCAGAAGCTGAGGCCTCAAGAATAACACTGGACAAGTTTATAATATTCAGCGATTGGATGCTCATTCCTCCGGTAGATGAGCACTCAGTAGGTGCAACTTGTGTGCATCGTTGTGGTTGGTTTGAGGTAGTGAATTGTGAACGGGGTTGAATGTTAGTATGGTCATCTGAGATATGGATCATGTCCGTACGGCGAGTGACAGTGTTAGAAGGAGCAGCCGATAATCCTACCACATTGTCGCGTGCCAACTTTTTATTTTTGGTTACGTTAATTTCATTTAGTCTTTTTCGCTCGTATTCTTCAAGCGCGTTTTTCTCGGTGTGAGATAATAATTTGCTAGACTTCTAACTATACTCTGTGACGGCAAGGTCACCGGCGCGTCGTTCACTATGTTTGACAATAACATTAACTAAATCCAGAGATGCTTTTTTTAAGACGTTATTCCACTCATTCATTTCTCCTTCGTTAAGAGTATTCATGGATGGAGTCAAATGTAAGCTTAGTCCCCTAGGCGCGGTGCCACAATTAAGATAGCTACGGAGTGTTTGAGCATGAAGGTGAAATCGTATTCTCTTATCTATAATTTTGCGTGCCTCAACTGCGGTACGCGTAACGTTATTTATCTTTTACGCTGTAAACTATGCAACATGGTTTATATAGGACAAACCAGTACTTCATTTCGGTTGCGCTTCAACAATCACAAGTCTCATATCAAGTCCTTACCCACGCTCCCCTTCTCTAAACACATGCATCTTAAAGAGCATAGCATTGAAAAAATACGTGTCATCCTTCTGGAATCTGGATTTAGCTCTGATCACGACAGAGAGTTGAAGGAGGCTTTTTTCATTCACAAATTCAATTCGGTTGCTTGTGGTATTAATGCAAGTCCAGGCGTGCTCACTTGGCTGCCACGCTGTGTGTAGGGCCGAGGCCACAGAATTATTTTGGTTTTGCACGGACTATACTAGCCGAGCGCGTCGATGACATTGTTGCACCAAAGGCGCCTGCCATCGTGAGCTCGTTCCACGCCTCTCGTGAACATCCTCGTGAGCGTGCGTCCCGTGGTAATCCTTCCGCTGCGTTGAATTCTTGGGCGCGTAAACATCATTCAAATATGACATAAATACTTCATAAAAAACCGCCACGGCACCCTTGCGCTGTCTAGATCTCCGATCTCGAAGCGGTGTTAATCCCGAACACATCCTCATTGCTACTTTTGTGTGCGCTCCGGTTGCTCGGGGGTGATTGTGCTTAGGAGCTGTAACAAAGACTGTTCCAAATACTACAAATCAATTTATTTCGTTTTATTGATTTGGATAAACATTGTTTATAATTACTAATTTCAAAGATTTACGATAATTTTTTTGCTCCTGTTCTGAATATTTTGAATACCCTTCATAGTAACTCTTCCTCTTCCGCACGAACATCAACAAGAAGAAGAGGACATTTCACAACCATTCACCCTGAAGAAAAGCGGTCCCCGCTTGAAACGTCGGTGCAGTAAAGAAAGGCCTTTCCTGGATCTCCTCCACTTTCGTTTTATATATATATATATACATATATATATATATATATTGTGGGATTCCCCTTTGAGGGTGTACCACTTAGAAACACAGAAAGGTTCCATGGGTCCGGATAAAGACGTGTTTATTGGTTGCAGTGCCAACACGCTTCGCTCTTAGACAATGAAAAGTCTGGGCGCTGGCTCAATTGCCAGTATCACCCGGTCGGTTTCCCGCGCTGCCGCATTAGACAGATTCACGGGAAGTCGGAGGCCCACAAAGAAAAACCGAGCTCCGTAGAGCCAGGGCCTCCGCCGACGAGAGCCCCTGGCCCACCTTCGGGGCCAGCTTATGTAGCCTCGGAGAATGGACGCGCCCGGGGAGGCCACTAGCAGTCGCGTCCATTATAACTCTGAAGGGTGTGCCGAAGGCGCGTTCACCCAAATGGGCAAGGGAGAGCCGGCCCCTTCGGGAAATTCGGCCTCGTGGTTCCTTGTATCCGGGAGGCCGACGCCATTGGTGACGACGGCTCCCACGGCCTGCTTGAAGCTAGGCCTGGATAGGGATAGAGGGAACCCGATGGTTCCCACAATATATATATATATATATATATTTGAGGAAGATATTTGTCAGACTTGTAACTTGAAAAAAGGTTATTACTGTCAAAACTATTGAATGGAAGTTAAACATAAACACTAAAATGTTATTAGTCTTATAAGTTTGCAGTTGTTCGACTCGATGACTTGCGGCAAAATGTGCAAATATTTCTTTAATCTTTGCCACTTTTTGTGGTTTCAGGGAATCTCCCATAGAAAACCATGCTGAAGAAATCAGTGCTTGCGGCCGTCCTGAGCTGCCTGGCCCTGGCTTTGGCCCAGGCGACACCAGAACCAGGTATGTGAGACTTACTTAAACAGAGCAAATGTAGTGGGCTCAAAGAACTATACTGTTAACAAATCTGGCAAAAAAAGCGAGGACGCGCATCAATTTTATGAAGATAAAAGTTTTAACGCTGTAAACGAGTGTTGTGATACATCACCTGTAAATACGTAAACGCATCAAAACACAAGCGTCAAAAATTTTTTTTCAAATATCATTCTACATTATTCTTAAAGTACTACATTTGTACATGAATTAATTGCAAATATGTTTACTTTAAACTTGCGAGGAACGTAACTGGCCGAGCACAATGCATCTAATATTAAAACCTAAACACATCCGAAACGTTAGTCGCTGCCAGGGGCGGACGCTGGTGGTTATAGAGGGGAGGGGAGGGGGGATGTCAGCGAATCACATGTTTGCGAAAACACCCCTTCCCTTCTTTTACCGCCCTAAAACATTACAGACGCGAAATTTTAGGGTGAAAAGGTCAGCACCCCCTCCCCCCCCCCCCTTTTTTTTTTTTTTTTTTCTTGTTCTACATCTACCACTGGTCGGTTCGGGCTGCATTAAGAGGGCGCGGTACCTCTATTTATTCTTCCGTTTCAGCCACCAGATGGCGCGCGGCTCGAAACGTGGTTGAACGCGCAACTTCTAGATGGCGCCAGTATCGAGGTGTGAAAAGGCCCGCGTTATCCGCTGCGTGAAATAGATCCCGAAATGTGCCGTGTTCTCCCGGCGGAGGAAGTTTCTCCCTCCCTCGCGCGCGCTTGGTATGTACGGGCGGTGGCCGAGTCCGGCCTCTCCGCTGTGTGATGCAGTGGGTGGCGCTCGTTTCTGTTCGGAGGTAGGAATAGAAACGCCGGTCCCCTTTTTTACGACGCTCGTTTCTATAACTTGTTTTTCTTTTTTTTCTATCTCAAGTTACCTACAGTACCGCCTGTTCGAAATCGTCCTTTGCGGTGAGCGATTGAGAGTCAGGTTAGCATTTTATTTGGGTCAGCACTACACGTTCAATGGAGACCTCGGGCGGCGATGTAAATATGCATTGCTCCCCAAAGTGTGTCCAAGACGCGCAATGACATTGAAAAGGGTATTGAAGGCGCGCGACCGTCGGCTGGTAAAATACGTGCGTCAGATTCACTTATTCAGTCTAATCATTTTGTCAACGTCTTTTATCTGTTTCGACAAATGACATGGTCGAGTCTATTGATAATCTTAGCTAGATTGGACGTACGGAGTGTCCGGGCTTTAAATAAATTTGCTTCGTTTATGTGAATGAATAACTGTTTTCTCTTTTCCGTGCTCGGTGCTATGCAAAAATCGCTGAGATGTTATGGTAGCTCAGTATGGCGGCGTTTTGCACGCTGACTCGCTATTGCATTCGCTGTGCACAATATGTGTTCAGATGGAATGTGCCAAATCGTATTTCCGATCGATATGATAGATTTACTTTGCTACAGTGTTAATTATATTTTCCTGATTTAAACTGGTTCGTCCCTGATCTGAGCCTAAGTTCAAATTCGAAGGGCAGACAGACTTAGCGTCGTAACAGCCGCAATGCGCAGAAAGAAATTAGTACCATGAAAGAAAAACAAAAGGATACGAGGTGGCTCGGTGTTATAGAAGTAATGAGTGTGCAAAAGATGCCATCGTACGTGTTTTTTTTTTTTTTTTTTTTTGTGTTTTTTTTTTTTTTTTAACTCTCCGCATCGCTGGGAAACGCTCAAGGTACCAGCAAAGACAGCGAGCTGGCGTGAAATTTCCATCGAGGGGAAAACGAGTGTCATTTTTATTTCATCATGCGCTTTCATTTTGATATGGCTCAAAATGAGCGCGAAATAGTAACAGGTAAGGCAACAAAATTTAGATGTTAGGTCTGGAGCACCGCCATACTCAGCCGTGTTGGGGGCATCTCTCGCGAGTCATTACGGCAAAGGTATTGCGCGTCGAAATGTACGTGAGAGTTATCCATTTCAGCGAAACCTTGATTTCGCAAAACTATTGTGGCTCGAGTCGTGGCTTCCAGTACTTAGAAGCCACGAGCGAGAAATAAATGACAGTTGATTTTGAAGGCCAATCGCGACGTGGAAACCCATAAAAGAGAGTTCCAATAAGACGAGAGCTTCCCCTTCTTTTCAAGTGCGTGGGTTACGCTCTCAATTCTGTACCTGTGGTAACACTGCAGGCTCCTAAAATCGCTTTGAAAACGTTCCTGATCGCAACAACGTTTTTTTTTTTTTTTTGTCGAGGCGCTATTTCATTTTTTTTTTTCTTTTTGTCTACCTTGATACCCTATCAACAAAAAAACTACCATAAACTAAAAAAAAAAAAATAGTGGGCATACAACACAACGCACCCACTGGGACCCGAGTCAAGGCAAGAACAACTAACTACTAAAAGGGGAAAAAAATCATGTTCGCATACACAGACAGAACGCCTCCATCGAAAGAAATGAATCATGCGCTTGTTCTGCCAGTCTGGTTGTGCGTCTGTCAAAAGCCACAAAGGAGAAAGACAATCAGCGCCTACACCACCCCCCCCCCCCCCCCCCCCGCCCCGACCACCCCTAAAAAGAAGAAAAAAAAAGGTTTCTTGGGCGCGCGCGCGGTCGCCCAAGCGATGACCTTGGAAGAGTATGCGATTGTAGCACGTTTGTCCCCCGGTTGTGCCCCTGTCTCAAATGCCACGGTCCGTTCCTCCCAAGTGCCCGTCTTATCTTCCCGAGTATCAGTTCCGCAGTGATTCTGAATCATTCCGATGCTTTCCAACGTTGCAAAACTGTTAGACGAATATTTGCACAGAAGTATACACTGTTCGCAGAACTATCTACGGCGCTAAAATTCAAAGGCGCCGTGTTGGATTCAGGAACTTGTGTAGGTTTAGCTCATTGTTGGAACATTCTTATTCACTCGATGAACTCCACAAAACGTGTAAATATTAGAATGAACTTTCCAGAGAACGATAGTTGTTGTCGGGGTTCCAGGCGACCGGACAGGTCGCAATTATTGGCTGATTAAAAATTTTATTTCATAATAACAATCGTATCATCAAGGGCACGCCATTTCCTCATCACTTCTACGAAAAGAGTTGCTGTATTCGTAGCATACACAGACGGAAACGGTTGAGACTGTGCCCAAATAATATCTTCTTTTGGCAGGTACTGCGCAGCGATTACACACAATGCCTCTAACATAAACATGCTGCTCCACATGTCTCTTCACAAGATGCAATACATCGTTCTCCCAACTTTGTTGAAATGGGCATGAAAGCGCGTAACCGTCACTTTTTTGAAGTTCTACTTAAGGCCCGTTCACACTCTTGCGACCTCTTAAACCTAGGTTCCTTAAAACTTCTTAAACCAGAGAATACACTGGCGCCATCCATTGGGAAGCAGTGTAAACTCGGCGGTCCGGCATATTTTTTTTTTTATTTATCGCGCATTATCCTTTCTTTCTTGGCTCGAAAAACTTTTGTCAATGTTATAAACGAGCCTTTCTAGGGTTATTACGCACATTTGACCTCGGAAATCCCGCAAAACCTTCGCTCTTGTGAAATGCAGTTCCAGGGTCACCGCATAGATGGCGCCACAATACCAGTGTGTTCCCTCATTCTAAAAACATTTAAGAAGTTTTAAGAAATCCTCGTCTCTCTCAGTCGTACTCGGTCGTACTCGGTCGCAAGAGTGTGAACGGGCCTTTAGAGGTGAAGTGTTTACCGTAAAAGGTCGTCAATTATTTATTTTTTTCCGTTCCACTACAAAGCTCGATTCACTTAAATTTTTGTTTTTATATCGTCTCTACAGCGCTTTTACGTCGGTACTTTCGTGTTAGAGGACATCACATAATTTGCGAAAAAAAACAACAAAAAAACGGTAGGATCGATGCTGCATAGCCTTTTTTTTTTTTGTGGACATCAAGAAAAGAAAAAAAGATAGTACTTGTCTTCACTTCGCACTGCATGTTTTAGCACGGAAGTTCCTATTTGGTTATAATGTCTTTATTTTCTTAAAAATTATACACAGTAATTTAAATTACCGAATTACAAAAACGTCGAAATTGTATAATTGCTTTTCGTTGGGACGCCATGACGACAGCGACACTCGTGTTCCCTCGTGGTTTTCGCCAGCATTTCTACGATGAATTGCCAGGATCGCGAGATGCAACAGCGTGACACTCCGTCTTCTGTGACGTCATTTGTTGCACTTTGGGACCACTTTTGATGTATGGCCAGCATAAGACGCTAAACACACCAGTCGGAGATGCGCTGCAGGCGCCATAGTACTGCTCCTAAAAGTAGCTGTCACGTGCTTTGCTCCGCGACTGTGATTCCCTCACAGCAGCTCTGACTGAGGGTTGCCAAATTACGGTGAAACGGAGTATAGACAAAACAGACCGGAAACGAGCTGCCAGTACACGTTAGTCAAACTTCCAACAAAAAGGATTAGTTTCTTCCCAAGCTGGACGACATTTACCGGGCAACTTTAGAGCTGCGAAGCTCAAAATCACGCGTACTCATAAGATCTTTTTTCTCGCGTGTTTGTGATTTTTATGGTGTCCTGCAAGCAAGAAAAAAATATATATGGTGAAGTCACTCCGATAACCGATACCGATAACTGCGAGCCACGAACATGAAGGATTCGCTAACATCCGTCAGGAGTGTGAACGGTAAATCGTCACGCAAACATATTCTCACAAGCTGCAAATATTTATTTGGCTTAGAAAGTAGAATACTAGTATACTAACGACATGTGATTATTGTACACAAGATACCATTTCTCGGTTCTTCAAAACCATTTCCCTAGTCTGAACGGTCGCGCTACGGGCCGCGGCTAGCCGTGCCCTCGATAGACTACAGAGCTGCGTTGTGTCGTCTGCTACTGTACCGCCAACAGGAGAGCGACAGCTCTGTGTGCTCCACAGATGCGTGTTGCGGTATAACTCTGTACGTCTGTCCTAGATGAAGACAAAAAGATAGGCTCTGTGACCCCCTCCTAAGCTAACAAAAACAAACAGAAGTATACGCGTTTGGACTGAAAGGTTTACAAAATAGTGACCAGACATTGGAAAAGCATATGTCACAGAACTTGGTTTATGAAATGGCATCATTGTTTTGAGCAAGAAATCACCTGCTCACCACTGAGACGATGAAATCGTCACTATTTATTGCGTCAGGTATATTTGCGCTCATGAAGAAAATCTGAACACATCCTTCTCCCAAAGTCTTATGTCGAATAATAAACACTTTTTTAAACAGCTATGCACAAATAACTCATGTTTTTCTACACTTGTATATACACGTTAATTAAACGACGTCAAACCGCATTTTTGATTAGATCTTGATGTCTACACCAACTACATTCATATTTTTTAGGGCTTTATTGAACGATAACTTCAACTATAGTTAATGGAACACGATGGCTCGATCTCAACAAAAACCTCAACGTGCGAAGCTTCCACAGACGGTCGCTTGCGAGTATTCTCAATGTGAGACTTCAGAAGCTTTCGCTTGCCATAGGGAGCTTGCTTTCGACTACAGCACTGCACGGGCCCGGAAAGCGCGGAGCGCGCTGCTGTGGGGAGAGGTTGACTTACAAGATGACGTGTTACGTGGTCACGTAAGATGGCGTCATTTCGTGCAGTGTGATCACGTAAGATGACGTCATTTCGTGTAACGAGATCATGTAAGATGACGTGTTTGTGTCACGTGATCACGTAAGATGACGTCAGTTCGTACGAACTGACGTCATCTTACGACAACGTCAACAACATTAGTGTCGTCCGGAACCATTGACCTTAGAAACGCGCCTCTTCGCTTGAAGAGCTGATATGCGTTGATTGTTATTTGTTTCTTTTGCCTACTACAGACCATTCAAAAACTCGCCTTCTGGGTGCCACCAACTTCGTCACTGGGCTGTGAAGCGCGTTCGAGCGTGCGCAATACCTCTCTAGGCCGAAAGATTGTACACTGAGTATGCGTTCACAGCTCAAAGACTTAGGCATTTTTCGTCAGGATAGATGCTCCCACGAGAAGAGCGTAAGGGATATGTGAATAGAATTGGAAATTTGAAATGTTCTTGTCCGATCGCATTTTTCTTTGGTTATCAACGCTTTTTAGCGTCATCACAAGACGTTCAACCCACAATACACTGGTGATTAAAAAATAAGCACCGAAAAACATGCACCGATTTTCGCTCAAAAATAAACACCGGAAAAAACATACCGTAATCATTACCCATGTCACCTTTTTGGGTGATATGTGAATTTCCAGAAGAACAGCGAGTTATCACCCTCCCCTAGGAATACCCTGACTACAGAGCAGGCGACCCGTTTTTCCCCGCGTTAGATTGCGGTGACCACGACCCGTACGGAGGTCACAGGACGTCCATGAAAAATAAAAAGGAGGCAAACAACGATCTACTCTGTGCACGCCTCATCCCCGATTTCCACGATCCCAAGGCCGAAGGACGTTTGTGTGAAGGATAACGATATAATAAAACTTTGCGTAAAAAAAGAAAAGCCCGTTTTTAAAAGAAAAAAAAGTAGAAACAAGCACAACGCGTTGACGGACCGCGAGGTTGTGGAACACCTCGCGGTCCGCTTGCCACAGGACGGTTGTCTTCGACCCATAGCTCCAAGGTGAATTTGCCACTTGCGAAAACACGGAGACCTACCCAGCGAGAACCAGGAAAGCAAGACACGCACACTGATGCCTCGGCGTGCAGAATGAAACAGCTAGGATACGGCCGCGGAAGAACACCTCGCACAGTGCCGATCCGGCCGATCTCCGAACGGACGATTTCGCATTTCGTGGACAGCGAGCGCCACCGCACGGGAGAGAGAGGTTCCTTAAAAACGACGAAAACAAGCACCGACACCTTGGTTCTTTATATTTGCTGTAGTTACGGAACAAATCGACTTGCATGAATAATTTGAATATTATTCGATTCCGTAATAAATTTAGAAGACATTAAGCGCAATAATTCTTATGTTTGAATTTAGATAATTTTGTAAATTCGCTCCGAACGCAAGAGTGCCAAATTAGCCGATTTTGATCATTTTCATGATTTTTTAAAGAATATAATTAAATTTATGATGAAACATTTGTTGCGCTTAGTGTCTCGATAATGACTCAATGTCTTTAAAGCCGAAATTTTCAAGAAGATCCGCGCAGCCGTTATTATGTGAGAATTGTTTTAATTGGGTGAAAAACCTCATGTATTCTCTATGGGGCTCTGTGGTGCGCCCCCTCTTAATTTTAAACTCTTGAGAGCAGAAACACGTTTTTATCTTATTTTGCTTTGGCCGAAACTTTTGAAGATAAGTGGCACAAAGTGCGCAATAAAATCTCTTTGCTGGACCGAAATTTGTATGTCGCAAAAATAAGGCCGCAGAAGCGTTGAACAGGACGCTACGAACTCTAAAACGTCACTCATCTCAAATGGATAACCGTATTTTTAGAAAAAAAGGGCGCAATCAAGCGAGGATTGTGACGTCATGGTTAGTATGGAACAGTTGAGAATGAGGGGAAGCGGCCTCGCTTCTCTCCTCCTCGCTTCGATTCACCTGCTTGAAGGGAACGAAGCGAAGAAAAGAGGGAATCAGAATCATGACGACACCTGTCTCGTCGGCCCCGTCGGCCCTATTCAATCGCGAAATCTTTTTTTTTTTTTTAAACACGGCCATCCGTTAGTGATTCCGCTATATGAGCGTTGTTTAGGGGTCTTGTAGCGTCCCGTCTGTCGCTCCGGCCTTGTTTTGTGAGCTCCGAATTTCGGTTCAGCATTTCTTTAAACTGAACATTGCACCGAACACGGTACCATGGCCAGCTAGCCGTATCTTTAGCGCATGCAATACATCACATTACTTGGAATACCAATCCCATATTTTTCTCTACAGCTAGTTCAGCCAATGAAAAGGTTAATAAGTATTATGCCTCAATATTAGTGCAGTAACACAAGCATGAGGATTATAAGCATCATTGGAAATTGCCGTATGTTCTAATCGTCACTGATACTGCCTGGCCGTTGGAGACACCTAATTCCTTTCTTGATGCCTGAACAGATTGAAATAAAAAAAAATTATCTGTGTATCGATCGTATTGAATTCCAGCACACACTCAAGGAATTCTGACAGAGAGTATGTCTTAGCCATGAATCTGAGAGTGAAACTATAAACGAAGATCCATCCTTTTTTTTTTCGCAGAGGACTGTTTAGGGCTTCCAGCCGACTGGACGAAAAGGACGGATAGCATGCTCGTGCACCTCCCTGAAGGGTACAATTCAGATATTGGCATTATAGGTGTCCTCGATCAAGTGGTATTTGGAAACGCAACCATGACAAACATGAGTCAAAATCTGGAATTGGACATCGCGTTTAGTACGTTCTGCTATGGGGACAAGAGACTCATTGTCTTCAGCATACGATGCCGGCACGAATGCCTTCGACTAAGCTTGCCCTGCAGTCACGCGGGCCTCGGACTCTCTGGCGAAGCTGTTTCGTTACTCAGGGAACTCGAGCTTCAGGCAGAGGTAGCGGTCACCGAGACCGAAGACCGTAACGTGTACGATGTAGTAAGAGTCACTCCCAGGAAGCTGGAAGCCAGAGCGTTACACATTGCAGCTTTTCCCTGGTGGGCCAAGCATGCGATCAAAGTGCTCGTGGACCTGTTTCTCAATCGTACGTTGCAGGAACTTCTCGCAAAGAATCTTTTCGGTGCTTTCAGACGCGCCATTGAGCAGAATAGCCCCTGAAATGTACCGAGTCCACTCTAGTTTTTTGCTATTTTTTTATTGAGCGCTGCAACATTGCCTCGATAGCATGCGCTAGATTTCACGTGGGCCGTTGTTCAATAAAAAAAAATAAGATTTGAAGAACAAACAACGCGTGATATATCTTAGCACCTCTCGGTCACATGCTTCGTGGCGCAAGCTAGTCAGGCACGCGTGGCATGGAACCGGAAGATCATCCTAGTAGACTGGCTGCAAAGAGAAGTACGTTGTCTCTAATAAACATTTAGATCTATATGATTTTTAAAAAATACAAGACGATTCATTGGTGGATTCTCAGGGAATATGTTAGCATGACCCTTGGGAAACGCCACACGTCTTCCTTTGGGAACCGCTAACGCCGACCCCTTCACTTTTCTGTTTTGGCTTTCTCTTAGGCTACCTCTATTTTCTGCTGCCTAGTTTTGACCTCTTTACGGGGTCAGTGTTAGCGTCTCTCAAGGGTCATGCTAACGCACAGTAATACCACTCGTGGAAGGCACCGCATCCATCGTTTTAAATACACACACACATCACAGCCACCGTACCGTTACTACGGAAACCCACAGCGAAGCACAACCGGCGACGGCAGAGCGGCCACCGAGCACGCCAGCATTCCACCGCGCCGCGGCGCGTCCTCTCTGGCTCCGCGCCAGCCGTGCGACGCTCCTTTGACAAAAACAAAAGCACTCGTTTTGACTAAAAACACGGTAGTGTGTGTCAGTTTGTCTGCGCCGGGGAGAGAGAAAGAGAGAGGGGGAGGTTGACGCGTGCTGATGTCAGCGCCTCGGACCAATGGAAGCGTCGCACGCGTCACCCTCTCCCCTTGGCACTGACAAACGACAGACATCGCCGGGTTTTCCTCCAAACAAGCGTTCTAATGCTAACTCATAAAACATAAATCGTTATGTTAGCTTTTCAGATATGAATTTATACGTAAAGCAGAAGTTGAATACCATCTGCTCCGAGAGTGTATATCAGACCAAGCCACGAAATCTGGATTCTACAAAACACGCTGCAAAAGCGTGCAACGGGATGCTACAAACACCAAAACATCACTCATTCAGCGATATATCCAACGGATGACCGTATTTTCTAAAAAAAAAAAAGGAGGCGCATTTCACAGATATGTTTACGTCTTGCGTTTCTGAGGAGGAGAGGGAACGGCCTCGCGTCTTCTCCGCCTCGCCGCCTTGAGGGGACCAAGCGAAGAGAGGAGGAAACGAGACATCTTGGCGTCACCCACCTCGTCGGCCTGGTTCAATCTCGACCTTTTTTTCAAAAAATACGGCCGTCCATTGGAGATATCGCCTTACGAGTATAGTGTTGTGGGGATCGTAGCGTCCCACCTATATCTCCTGCATGGTTTTTCTGAAATCCAAATTTCGGTACGCCATCCGTTTAAGAAACATTTAGACAAAACGTCGTAATATTTGACGTGTGGTCGTCCTAGGTGATACTGAAGAGGGCTGCATTTTTTTCTTTTTTTTTTCAAAAACAGAAATGAAACGGAGGTGCCATTTAATAGACAGAACGGATGATTACTAATTTCTGAGGAATTAGTAAATTTGCCCCATAAACTTCAAGAATATAGCAAAAAAAGGACAATTATTTTGAAATAAAGTTACGAATTTTAATTGTGATATATTTGCCACGTGTGAAGGACGCACAATCCGCTAAGCTAAGAAAAAAATAAGAAAACCGGTGAGTTTTTTTTTTTTTTTTTTTCATTCGCTAAAGGTTCGGCTATTTGTTCTCCGCATCTGCCAGTTTTTGTGGTGAACTTTTCTCAGGTGAGCTTTTCTCCGTCGCCCTTTCGGAATACTGCCCTCTGTTGGCAGTTTGGGAATCCGTGCACAATGGCGGACTAAAGCAACAATGTTACGGCACACATGATACGTTTGATTGGATTAGAAGGCAGACGACACACCCACAAAAAGGGTGGTTAGCGCAGTGACGTCGCACTTCCGACGATGTTTGATTGGTTCGTCGGCAGCTATCGTTTGTCGCACACAGACGTTCGCTATCTTATGAAATGACTTGCATATTCCAGGCTGTCAGTTGCTCCGCCATTCTGCAGTGGTTCTGACCTAGTAATCGGCATGTAACTTCCGAAAGTGGTCTACTGAGAAAAACAACCCGGCAATGCTAAATCGGCGAACAAGCAACGTGTTGTGACGTTGCGTTTTCCCTCTTTTTGTTTCCTCTGTCTCGGGTGATAGTATGTGGAGTAAATAACAACCAGCTTGACTGTCTAGTAACGTTGTCTTAGCTGTCTTCAAGAACCGAAGTTCTGTGACTTGTATTGATTTTATTGAAGGTTGTGAATACCAGCATCACTGATGAAGTAATGAAATAATGTCTACTACCAGATGCCTAGTTCTGAAAAAAATTAACGATATACAAAAATGAGTTGAAATTTTTCAAACGTCGAGGTGAGATTAACCTTAAAATGCAGGCCGTTCACTCTTGTTGCTGTTAGAGTGGTGGCGGCCGATAAAACCCCTTTGCTATATTGACGTCTAACTCCTGGTTGCTTCAGGCAATAGAGCGCTCCACTAGAGATGGACGGTCCCTGGTTAGGACGCCAGGACTAGGCGGATTTTTTCGGTCGTTCACCAGTCACCTAGCTGTGTTTGAAGATGTGTGTTTGTCATTTGTTTCTTGTTCCCCTTCTCCAAAGATTATTTTCGTCATTTTCGTCCAGCTCGCTTGCACCTTTGCATTGATTGCACTTTCTCCATCGCAGTGTTTAAAATGTATTACCTAGGCACAATTATGTTATAGTATTCGTCAGTCGTACTAGGGAAACGGATAGCTTCGCCCAGCTGGAATGCTTTCATGGCCAGTCGAAGTCGGAAGTGAGAACATCATATCGGCTGACTGAGGCGAACGGTAAAGACTCGCAATTGCTTTCCTGGGATACATGAACGGCAATGGTAACCTGGAAGGCAGGATGAAACCACTTGTTTCCAAGCTATCAGTGGTTCAATGAATGACATCAAAGGAGATCAAAACAATCCTAACGAAGTTCACCGAGGCCCTAATTGTTTCCTCACATTCACGACGAGCATCGCAAAGAAGAAAAACAAACAAAAGAAAACATGACCTGATTGTTATCTTTTTACGTTCGATAAGAGCGCTGCATCGCCTAATAAGATCCTAAAGGGAGAAGTGGGAACATAAGAAGCGCTTATTAAGTTTGGTTTTGTGCGTATGTTTATGCACCCTCAAGTTTAGTCTGCATTGGTGGGCGTCTGATGTCTGAGCTGTAGACGAACAATTTATCCAGTGCAGTACAAACCGCTATCCTGGGGTCTTTAACCTGCACCAGGCAGTAGTGATACACGACCGCACGCCGGTAGGCGGTGCTCATCCAGACCGAAACGTGCGGGGGTGTGGATTGAACCCAGGATCCCTGGCTTCTGCAACGCGAGCTTTCGCTCCATTTGCTCCGAGCTGGTGCGGGCTAGTCTACTCGGTCACCGATCCCCCCATAAGCGCTTCTTATAAGAGCACTAACATCCCCCGCCCCCAATTTTTTGTTTTTCCGCCATGCAATTTACTATGTTGTCAGAAGACTACCCAATCAAAGTTTTACTACAGCGTCACGTATATTATTAAAAAAAAAAAAACGCAACTGCTCGAAACCAGATCAGAAAGTGGACTGGGGAGGAAGGAGAAATGTAGGTTGTGCTCCAAACTTTACTCGATCCGACTTCGGAGTAAAGGTTTCGTACCGTGGCGCTTGATTGAAACTGTTCTCGCGCTTACTCGATGACGTCACAACTCGCGTTCCAGAAGCGGGTTGTTTCCTCCGGAGTAATTACTCGCGCTACCCTCCCCCGATCGGTGCGTAACGTGACTAATGACGTCACGTGATTTGTTCGCCGTCTGTTCGTGATCTGCTTTCTGCACTCACAGCCGTCGAAGCTCGTCTGCTTTCTTGGCTTTGGTGGCGGGTGTTCTAAATAGCAGGAAACGAGGTGCAGCCTTTTATATATGGTCATAGTGATTTGCCGTTTTCAACATACAAATGGACTGTGCACCACATCCAAACCGTGCACCTTCCGCGGGAAGGTGAACGGTTAGAGTGCGATCGTAAACCGGAGCTTATCCTCTTCTTTGGCGTTGGAGTGAACACTGTGTTCTTACGTTCAAGGCTGAAGATGGTCGAGCGCAGTGAATGATCTAGAAGTAATTTTGTTTTCCAGAATGTGCATAATGGCGCTTGTAAGCCAGGGAATGCTTTGAAGACTTCATGTATACGATCAGTCAACCAACCCCACCCTTTCTCTCATCCCAAGAAAAATATTGGTTTGAAGGTTCTCTCTGCAATTTTTTTTTTCGTGTCAAAGCTAAGGTGATTAGTTTACATGCATCACTGTTACACCGTGTGAAGCGGATTCTGAATTTCCGCAGAACGTAATCGATGCAAGTTACAATGTGTGGAACGCGTACGCTTAGGGCACCTGGAGTAGAATTGAAGCTAGCAGTGCCAGTTAATAAAAAACAAATGTTTGATGTCTAAAATAAAGTAGTAGTAGGTCATTTTGATCTTAATATACAACCCCAAAAGGAAGGTGACTAAGTAGAGCCGGTGGAGCCCGCTCCGAAAACACTATGTCGTCACGGTCAAAGAAAAACTTCACAGCAGTTAATACTATTGTCTCTTCGAGTGCTTTCTTCGCGATCAAAAGAAAGATGTGTTGTCCCGTCCCCTGTCTTTACGTATACAACTCTTTCTAAACCTACATCATTACCAACGCGCTCACTAAAAAGTGTCAAAAGCGAACGTCGGCTGTTTTCCGCCTTTGCTGCATGCTTTCTTTTTGCCATAGCCTAAGGCGAAGCCGATCCACGTACAAACCAGGTGAGAAATCCCGGCCGTTCAAAAATCGAGTGGCGGATCGTTTATTCGCCAAGTCACGTGGTATCACGTGACTTCGCGTGGGTCACGTGGAAGTCACGTGGTCACCCGTTGA